GGGAAAAAAGGATGAGTCTGTGGTCCCTGGGATGGACAGAAGGGTTCACAAAGGTGACATTTAAAGGAGCTGGAAGTGTTTGTCATTTGAAAATCAGAAATAAGTGTCTTCTTGACACTTTTTTCCTAATTTGGGAGAGCATGCCATAAGACATGGGGTTGTAGATCTTCCACCTGGCTTCTTACAGGCAGTGGGAGGACTTGGAAATATGTTTCAGGAAACCAGATTTCAGCTGGAGGCTGTTCCCCCAGGATGTTCTGCCTAGAACCCAGACAGAAGAGACGCAGGGTCAGGAAGGGACAGGGGTATGGCCCCACTACTCAGAAAGAGGAACACTGAGCCTGAGACTCATACTGAAATCTCAGCCCAGTGCTCCATGGTTGTGTTCCAGTTCTGACTCTCCCAGGAGCATTCTGTGACCTGGATCTTTGAGGACTAGTAGGGTAAGGTACTATGTTCCTAAAAGATTTAGCACAGTGGGGTTGGAGACATAGTAAGATAAAGTGCTGGCTGGGCAGTCTCTGGATCCCTGCCACCACATATGGTCTCCAGAGCATTGTCAGGAGCTATCCCTAACACAGAGCCAAGAGTATACCTGAGCACAGCCGGATGTGGCCACTAATCAGACAGGCAGAAGATTTAGCAAGAGTGGCTGGCACAAATCTCTGTATAACAAAAGGCTCACCTGACTCTTCTATGAGGCTGTGAACTCAGCGGCCTGCAGCAACTAGACCCACAACCCCAGTCACAGAATGGGCCAGATTGAGTGCGCTCAGGCAGGCCCACCTGCCAGGGGTAGCAGCTGTCCCACCAATGACCTGTGGCTCACCCTGCTGGGACTTAGCTGCTATGTTCTGATGCATGCTCACATAGTCCAGATCTTCCCTAGGCGAGGGGGCTCAAGGGTGCCAGCCACTGTTCTCTGGAAAAGAGACAATAGAAATATGTTGGGGCTGGGGTGATAGCACAGTCGTTAGGGCATTTGCCTTGCACACGGCCGACCCAGGTCGATTCTCAGCATCCCATATGGTCCCCTGAGCACTGAGTGCAAAGTCCTGAGTGCAAAGCCAGAAGTAACCTCCATGCATCGCTGGGTGTCACCCAAAAAAAGAAGTAAAGTAAAAAGTAAAGGCCCTCCGTTGATCATCGATTTGCTCGAGCGGGCCCAGTAACGTCTCCATTGGAGACTTTGTTGTTCGATTCCTCCGCCCCTCTCGGAGAGCCCAGCAAGCTACCGAGAAAAAAGAAGAAGAAAAAAAAGAAAATGTGTTGACTTCAATTCAATTTTCGCATCTTCTGCTCTCACCCTTTTTAGGAAGCAACCAGAGGCTGGGGGTAGGGGTGGGGTGGGGGTGGCCTAAGGTTTGGCCCACCCCCAGCCCCGAGCTTCAGTGAGATCTTCCCAGGCCCTGGCTCCTGGTGACCTGACCCTCTGTCAACAGTAATGACGTGTGCTGACCCCGGCGAGATCACCAATGGGCACAGGACCACATCGGACGCCGGCTTCCCTGTTGGCTCCCACGTTCAGTACCGCTGTCTGCCGGGGTACAGCTTAGAGGGGGCAGCTGTCCTCACCTGCTACAGTCGAGACACAGGCACACCCAAGTGGAGTGACCGGGTCCCCAAGTGCGCCTGTGAGTGGGGGCCACCCAGGGAAGGGAGGCAGGGAACCCACTCAGCAGTGCAGTTGGCATCTGACATTGGCACTGATCTTTGCAGTGAAGTACGAGCCCTGCCTGAACCCGGGGGTGCCTGAGAACGGCTACCAGACGCTGTACAAGCATCACTACCAAGCGGGCGAGTCTCTGCGCTTCTTCTGCTACGAGGGCTTTGAGCTCATCGGCGAGGTCACCATCACCTGCTTGCCCGGCCACCCGTCCCAGTGGACCAGCCAGCCCCCACTCTGCAAAGGTGCCAGGGCGGCCAGGGCAGTAGAGCGCATAGGGCTGTGCAGGGATGGGGGCGCCAGGTAGCCACTGTGAGGCCATGGGGGCTCCGGCCAAGCTCCCCAGTCACCTCCTGGGACCCTCACCCTCGCAGGCTCCTCTAGAAGTACTGGGACACTCAAGGTCACGGAACCATCCTAAGGGACAGTAGGAGCCTTGCTTTGGAAGTCTTTTGCCCTCAGTATAGGCCTCAGTTGCCCTATTTGGGACAGTTTTCATATCTGCTTGCCTCAGACAGCTCAGGAACCCTGACCTTTCAGGGGTCTGGAGAAGGAGGGGGAAGGCCCGGTCCTGCCACTGTCCCTCCCACTGTGACCCCAGCAGGGAAGGGGGAACGTGAGGGAGCGAGTCCCAGGAGTCCAGCCCAGCCGCACTGGGCCCTGTACCAGCCTCCTTCCCTCCCTGGCTCAGACCCCGTCCCCTCCCCCTCCTCTCCCTGCAGTGGCCTATGAGGAGCTCCTGGACAACCGAAAACTGGAAGGTCAGTGAGGACACAGGTGGAGACCCAGACTGGCCAAGTCGGGAGGGCAAGGCAGCGCTGGGGGCAGGAGGCAAGGTCCCGGAGGGGTGAGGCCCAGGGCAGGAGGCCGGGAGAGCCCAGCTTACTGGCGTCTCCTCCTCTCCACAGTGACGCAGACCACAGACCCATCCCGGCAGCTGGAGGGGGGCAACCTGGCCTTGGCCATCCTGCTACCCCTAGGCTTGGTCATTGTCCTTGGCAGTGGCGTTTTCATATACTACACCAAGTAAGTGTCCTTCTTTCTCTGGGGGCTGCTGGGGGTGAGGATAGTCAGCCTAATGCAGAAGCCGGGGGCAGGGAACTTGGGGGCTCACCTGTTGACCCCCCCTTTCTTCTTTTCCTAGGCTGCAGGGCAAATCCCTCTTTGGCTTCTCGGGCTCCCATTCCTACAGCCCCATCACCGTGGAATCAGACTTCAGCAACCCACTGTACGAAGCCGGGGTGAGTCCTGACCCCACCTGGGCCGCTCCTATTATGCACCCCTGGCTCCTGTAACCTCTCCAGGGCTCTGTAATCTCTATCTTGGGAAATTCAAACTCAGCTGCCTGTGAAGACCATGTTCATGTACGAAGCCAGTTACATCTGAGCCAGAGGAAGTGCTCAGATCTACAGCTAATCGGCCCCTCAGGCCCATAGTGGAAACTTAGACCCCAGAGTCACATCTTCCAAGTGTTCCAGACCACCCAAATATTCAGGGATTTGCATGTGAGACTCTCAGATGCCCTGAGATGAGTCCAATATATCCACAGGCCAGATTTAGCCCCCTTCCCACCCAGTTGGCCAATGTTCCAGTCTCTCTCCTTTCCATTTTGTCGCCTCAACCCACACCCACCTCCAGCACTGACCCCCTCTCTCTGTCTCCAGGATACACGGGAGTACGAAGTTTCCATCTGAACCCCAAGACTAAGGCTGCAGGACCCAGGACACCCCTCCCGCCTCATTCTGAGCAGGGAGGAGAACAGGACTTGGTTTCTGGCTATTTTCCTCCCTCCTGTGTAAATAGCCCCCTGTCCCACAAGGAGGTTTAAGGCCCTGGGGACCCCACAGTAAATAAACCAGCATCCCGCTGCCCAAAGCCGCCTCTTCTCAGTTGCCAAACAATGGGCCTACCCCATCCCCCACCAGCTTTTGGACCCTTGGAGGGGGCATCTTAGTCCCTTCCAACTCCTGGAGCCCCTCCAGCTTAGGGTACCCCACCAGGACTAGTCCTGAAAACCCTGCTCTTTCCGTGGCTTGATGGCTCCCCTCTTCCCAGATGTCCTGGCTCCAGGCTGCTCTGTGGCCTGGACTGATCAGAGCCGGAAGAAGGGCCGCTGGGACACGCCCGCTTCCTGCCATCTCCCCACCCACCACCTTTCCACCTCTGCTGCTGGACTTTTGTTTTTGAGCAATAAACAGAAAATCACCACTTGTAACTGGGCCACTGTGGGGACGCTGTGATGGTAGCCCATTGGGAGAGAAGCCTGGGGCCAGGGGACCTATTGAGCAAAAAACCCAGGACTGGGCAAAGGGGATTGGCTGGGGCCAGAATCCTGACTCCCAATCCCTGGGACAAGCTCTCCTGTCTCCCAGGGTCCCCTGTCTCTCCCTGGGGTGCATGTCTCTGCCTGCCTGGCAGGAATCTCCCACTGTCTGCAGGAGGCAAACGGCTCTGGATTTGTTTCCTGAAGGGTTTACCTAAAAGTCAACCCCCAGTGGGGAATTTTTATATCCTTCCAAGTGTAGCGTTCTGTTTTCCCCCTATCCTTCAACCATTTAAGCATTTTTGCTGTTCTGTGTCTAACGAGCACTGCTCAGATTTGCAGCCTAAAAACTGAGCATGTTTTATATCCTGTGGGTGTCCTTTGTCTACTTTACCTAGTTTGGAATAACGTAAGAAATCTTTGCCTGTTTGTCTCAAAGGTCTCCAAATTGAATTTTATCTAATTAAAATCTCAAAAACATTCATTTGTGGACACTTGAAAGGACCCCAAAATACTCAAAAAGGGTTGAGTTTTAGGAGAATATAAAACAACCTGATCTTTCAATAACAATCTAACTTGGGAGCCAGTTCTCTGTGCCCAGCTTTGTGCTAAACTCTTTGTATAAATTATGTGCTGGTTTTTAATTTGTTTGGGGGGAGGGGGGATTGGGATCTTAGGAATTACCCCCAGCAAGTTGCTCAAGGATAGCTCCTGGTAACGCTCATGGGGCCGTGTGGGACCAGGAATTGGGCCTGGGCCTCTTGCATGCAGAGTATGTGCTTTAGCCCTTGGAGTCAGCTCTCTGGCCTGAATTATGTATTTAAGCTTCACAAGTACCCTGAGAGATGGAGACAATTATTCCACTTCATCTGCTAAGGAAACTAAGTCTCAAGATGTGAACTGACTTCCTCAGAACTGACTTCCCAGTCATCCCAGGCTGGGATTTCAAAGCAAATGGCACAAATCCTATTGCACGCTTGTGGTGGCCCTGATGTGTTCCCAGGGGCACAACTGGGGAGTCTGAGCACTGAGGAAGCAGCAGCCTTCAGAGGCACGGGTGGCTGTGGTCTAGAACTGAGGACCTACAGCTTTAGGAGTGCAAGTTTGGCTAGAAGATTGGATTTGGAGTCAGAAGTTTTCCTGGTGCCAATAAATTGATAATGGTTGCTAGGTAACCGCCTGAACGAACGCTCTTCCAATATGCTCTAAAGTCTGCCACGAAGGGGGGGCCTTCTCCCACGCCTCCACTCCAGAGAAAGCACATCAGAGGACTGTTGTTGGCATGGGGGCTGGGGTGGGTGGTGTGATCTGCCTCTTTATTAAAACATTGGCTGTGCGATGGTGTCCTTGCCAACGGGGGTCTATGATGTTCCAAAGTACTTCGGTGGCCTCTGGGGTTCTGCGGCTCATGACCAGAAACCGCCCCATGTTGAACACCAAAGGGTTTAAAAGAGTCATCAAAGAGGCTTTGAGGCATGATTGAGGGGGACAGGACAGGGGAGGGAAGGACAGGCTGAGAGCAGCACCACGGAAAGTCAGGGCTCAACCTCCAGATGTCAAGTTGCTAGGCAGAGCTCCCTGAAAAAGAGCAAAGTGTTTGGATCCTTAGCACCAAGTCCCCAGATAGCCATTCAAGCCCTGGTCGCCTCCCATCACTTCATCCAGCTGCCGTTCTCCCACTTAGCCATTCATCCACCTACTCCCCTAATGCAGCTATCCACCCATGCTTCTACCTCTCAGTCTCCACCCATCCACCCCTTCATCATTTGTTTATCTCTCATTCATCCATCAGCCCTCCCATCTCTCTTTCCTCTGATCACTCACCCTCATCCCACAAGAAAGGACTCTGATTTTGCTCACTTCTACTCTCCAGTCCCTAAAACAGAGCTGGCACATAGAAGCACTAAAAACTGTTCAGTGAATCTATCCATTTTCCCATGTACCTACTCTTCCCCACTCACCCACCAATACCCCTAACATTTTCAACCACCTTATAATTCCAGATGTGGGTTATTCAAAGACCCATAGGTTTCTAAGTCTTTCCTTCCTTCCTTCCTTCCTTCCTTCCTTCCTTCCTTCCTTCCTTCCTTCCTTCCTTCCCTTCCTCCCTCCTTCCCTTCCTTCCTTCTTCCCTCCCTCCCTTCTTTCCTCAACCACACCTAGTGGTGTTCAGGAATTACTCCTGACTTGAGATTCAGAGATCACTCCTGACCCAAGCACAAAAATTTGTAAGTCTACAACTGTACCTCATGGTGTTTCACTAATAAAAATTAAAAAAAAAAAAAAGAGATCACTGCTGGCAGGCTTGGGCGACCATAAGGGATGCTGGGGATTAAAACCCAGGTCGGCTGTAAATAAGGCAAGTGCCTTACCCGCTGTACTCTCTCTCTGGTCCCAATTTTCTTTATCTCTTCCTTAATTCATTTTTGGGCCATCCCAGCTGTGCTCAGGGCTTACTCCTGGCTCTCCTGAGTGATCTCCTCAGGACTCACTCCTGGTGCTGCTCAGGTGATCACATGCAGTGCTAGAAATTGAACCCAGGCTGGCTGCATAGAAGGCAAGTGTCTTATCCTCTCTTCTATCTCTGTGTATTCTTTCTTAAGGATGAGAAAAAGTCTCAGGATCCTGTGAGACTGGCAGGTGGATGAGGGAAAGGCTTAGGCATGAGCGCCGGGTGAAGGCCTCTGTCATGTACCATTCTTCCTCCGTGGGCAGGAGGGGGACACACAGGAACTCTTATCCAAGCCCTGTCTGAAAGGGAAGCCACTTGCACTCAGCTATTGGGTTAACAGCAGGTTAGCTAGCAAAGCCCAGGGTTTCTGTTGTCATCTGAGCTGCTTCCAACAACACCAGCCTAACAGGGAGAGACCAAAGGTCCAAAGGCACTAGAAATTCGTCAGTGCCTTGGGGACAAGAGTTCTGGCTTGTTCTCAGCTGTGCTGTCTTTCTTTTCTTTTTTTTTTTTTTTTTTTTTTTTTTTTTTTTTTGCTTTTTGGGTCACACCCGGCGATGCTCAGGGGTTACTCCTGGCTCATGCACTCAGGAATCACTCCTGGCAGTGCTCAGGGGACCATATGGGATGCTGGGAATCTAACCTCTATCGGCCATGTTGGCTGCGTGCAAGGCAAACGCCCTACCCACTGTGCTATCGCTCCAGCCCTGTGCTGTCTTTCTAATGTTGGTCATCACCACTTAAAGGAGCAGCCCCAGCCAGAAAAATTACTCTCCCCAAGGCCAGGGCTTACTCTTGGCTCTGCATTCAGGGATCACTCCTGGTGGGGTTCGAGATGCTGCGGGTTGAGGGCAAGCGCTTTACCCCTGTGCTCTCTCTCCACCTCTCTCCCCTCCTCCCTGTTCCCATCTTGTGAAAGGCTCACACTCAGGTCGTGGTGTGCACATGCCCAGTTGTGAAGCTTGCAAGGCTCCCACTCCTGACGGCGGAGCTCGTGATCTTTTTACGTGATCTTTTTACGTGATCCCTTTTCATGGGCATCCCCACACACTGGCTGGGGGTGGGAGGGGGCTGGGAAGCTGGAAATCACACGCAGCATCAGGGATTGCAGACCACAGAGCTTCTGTGCCCATACAGCTGACCTCCAGGATCAGGCTCTGGGTGTGGCAGCATCAGGAACTGAACTCACAACCTTCTGCTTACAAGGCAGGCACTGTTAACCATGAGCCATCCCTCTGCTCCCCGCTCTCTCTATCACCCTTGCACGAGCATCTTAAACCCGATGCTTGTCCTGTTCCAGGAAAAAGGAGGCGGTTGGCATGGCAGAGACTGGGGGAAACAGGAAGAGCAATTCCAGGTAATGAGGTTGGAAAGATAATGGGGTGGAGAAGAGAGGCCACTTAAGGCCTGAAGAGGGCACTGAAAGGCTTTCACTCTGGGCCCAGAGTGCTAGTGCAGCAGAGAGGGCGCTTGCGTTGTATGTGACCCAACCAGAGTTCAATCCCTGGCATCCCATACGGTCCCGTGAGCTCTGCCAGGAGTAATTCCTGAGTTCATAGCCAGGAGTAACCACTTAGCATCACTGGGTATGGCCCCCAAAACCAAACAAAAGAAAGGCTTATACTCTGAAGTGGGAACTTATTGTAGAGTTCTGAGCAAGACTTATGTTATCATAGTACAAAACCTGAGAGCCCTCTGACTCCATCCTTTCTTCCCTTACTAACTCTGATCATATGCCAAATTCAATCTTCCTAGTTGATATTTCTCATATATTTCTCCTATCCTCCCTTTTCATCCCTACCACTATGCTTTCGGACCTGATCATCTCTAGCTGAGTCTCCTAGAATCATCCCTACCTGGCCTCCCTCCCTCTTTGGTTTGACCACCTGCACTGACCACCAGAGTAACTGATCTAAAATTTCAATCTTGGATGGCTCAATGGATAGGTCCTCATGTTTTATATGCAGGAGCCCTGGGGTTGACCCCTGGCATACATGGTCCCCCAAATACTGCAGCATGCCCACAACAAATAAATAAAATTCAACTTCCCTGACTTGAAAGTCTTGGATGGCTACCGAAAACATCCATAACATTTTGTTTTTGTTTGGGGGCACACCTGGCAGTGCTCTGGGTTTACTCCTGGCTCTGCACTCAGGGATCACTCCTGGCAGGCTCAGTGTGGTGCCAGGGGTTGAGTCACGCACAAGGGAAATACCCGACCTGCTATACCACCACTCCGGCCCCATCACTCCACCAAGACTTTGCAGCACATATTTGAATGGTCCCCTCTAGATAATGACCTCTTCCAGGGAATAGACACTTGTGTGTCCCCATTTTAAGACTGGCATGTCATGCAAACTCTGTTAGTGGCCATGACCCCTCCTAGGCATACCTTGTCTCGAGGGAACGGCAGGAGGTGTGCCATGGAGCGGGTGCGGTTTCTGTCGCTGCTAGAGATGACAGACATGAAAGAAGAGGGTTAAGAGCTCTGAATTCAAGAAATAGGATGTTGGATTTAACCCACTACCCCTTCATGCCGAGGGGTTGTTCAAACCTCACTCTCACTCCTCTCACTCATTTTCCACCCAGAACAGAGGTGGCAGGTTGCCAGGTGCCTCACTCACCGGGTGTCAGTGCCTCGGGTATTGGTGAAGAATGCTGGAAGGAGAAAATTGAGTTTCCTTGTGGCTAGGGGTCAAGGGTCTGAGGGCATTCATGGTCACAGGAGTGGATACTGGGCTTGGGGGGGGGCAGGAAATGGGCAGATTCCTAGAGAGTCCAAATTGGTGGGCAGGAAGAAGGAAGCTGGGATAGGAGAACTTCTCCAGACAAGAGGTGGGGGGCACCTTGTCTAGGTATCTGGGTCCCTTGGTCCTGTGTTTGTTTTTTGTTGGTAGGCTCAGGGCTCACGTTGCATCCAGCCATAAACAAGGCCTCATTGGTGAGTTCTGTGCTGATCCGGGTCAGGTACTCTTCAGAACGGGATAGAGACACCTTCTGCAAAAGGAAAAATCCAAGGGGCTCGCCTTGGTAGCTCCATCGTGGCCTGCACGCACAGCTCAAGGCAGTGACTTGAGCCTGTGCTGGTGGGCAGAGTCTTGAGATTTGGGCTGGAAGACCCCCAGCGCACAGGAGGGGGGAGTGGGGGAGTGGGGGAAGCGGGGCCAGGAATCTTCCAGAGCCTCAGACCCAGGAATGAAGGCTGTGGATTCAGGGTTGAGTTGTAGGACATGGTATCCCCAATCTGGTCATCCTCCCCACTTCCTTGGGAAACATCTCTAGAACTCCTCCGCAGTGCTCACCGGAGTCACAGAGGCTGTGGTGAAATTTAATTTCCTGCTCATTTCTTCCATGTTATTGACAGAACTGGACATCGCCTGGGTACAAGTGGAGCAAGAGTTCAACTAAGAAACAGATGTAGGGTTCTCCCAAATCCACACCCCCTTCCCTGAACCCAGATGGGAGCAAGGCCTTTGGAAGAACTATCCCATGATCTCAGTCTGTCGGGGAGTCAGATGTTCCACGGGGAGGGAGGGGACTTGAGCGATGCTTCCACCCGCAAGGCCCTCCCCAGCGCAGGTAGACGGCTGACCTGGACGACAGGTTGGACTGCTGGCTACTTGGCAGGAAAGGGGCCCGGGCGGCCTCAGAAACCCCTAAGATGGGCTGGGGGAGGGAATGGAGTAGGGGAGGGAGGACGGAAGGAGGGGTACTCTCCTGTGCTGGGAGCTTCCGCAGCTGCGGGGTTGCCAGGAGACTAGCGGTTCTAGAACCAAGGGCGGTGGCGGGGGGGGGGGGGGGGGGGGGCGGGCGTAGAGGGAGCGTTTCCTCAGCATGCCTCATTTGCTCCTCCGGCCTCTCATCCACCTGCTTTCAGGTTGTAACGGGGCGGAAGCAACCACCTGCTTCCAGGTTGTAACGGGGCGGAAGCAACCGGGCGCTGACCCAATCCTCCGGCCGGCCACTAGGGGCGCGCGCGAGGCAGCCCCGCCCGAGGCCGCGCTGCAGCCCCTCTAGCCCGTCCCACGCAGCTGGAGCCAGCGAGAGGCGCGGCGGCCGCGCGAGGGCGGGGCGGGGCGGGGCGGGGCGGGAGGATGTGGATTGTACCAACTGCCTAGTGCTGCAGGGGGGCGCGGACTCGGCGTGGACGGAACCTTCTCCTTTATCTCGGTGTCCGAGAGGTTACAGTCCCCGCAGAAAGGAAATTAGAGATACCGACTCAGCCCCCCTTCTCTTTTGCCCTCTTCTTTTCACTTCCTCCGCTCGGTGTCGAGGATCCTCGTGCACTTGTAGGAACCCAAAGGCCGGCGCGGAGAGAGGAAAAAGGAAAAGGAAGCCGGCAGGTCTTAAAGGGGCCGCCGCCGTTGTTTCAGCCTCTTTCCCTTCTTCCAATTTTGCAAGGGCGAGCGCAGAGGACAGGATTCCCCGAAGCTGAGCACAGCTGGAGCAGCAGGAGCCGCAGCTGGAGGCGGGCGCACCTGCGGGGCTGGCAGAGACAAGGTTCTGCCCCAAGGAGGGTGGGGTGTGCGCGCCCCGACCTGTGCCCCGCGCCCATCTGGGTCGGCCTTTGCTCCGGCTGGCTGCGTGCGGGCTTTAACACCTTGGACCGGGCCGGAGCAGCGGGGGCCTGTTCGCAGTTGGTGCGGCCGATGCGCGAGGCCGGAGGGTGAGGACAGCGCTGGCATCATCTGCTCCGGCCCTGGGTGCCAAGGGGGCCGCAGCGATGCCGGAGGAAAATATCTTCCTGTTTGTGCCTAACCTCATCGGTGAGTGCTGCCCGGGCTGGGGCCGATCGCGGAGGGGGTGGCGGGGCAAGGGGTCTTGGACAGGCTCCCTGATCCATCCTTGTCTGTCTCCCCCCGGCCGCGTTCCAAGGTTACGCCCGGATCGTCTTCGCCCTCATTTCTTTCTACTTCATGCCCTGCTGCCCTCTCACGGCCTCCTCCTTCTACCTGCTCAGCGGACTTCTGGACGCTTTCGATGGACACGCAGCTCGAGCCCTTAATCAAGGTGACGGACACTTCCTCCCAACCAGCCCCCCCCCCCTTTTTTTTTTCCTGCCCAGGGTGGGCGGGTACACCTTTAGGGAGCAGCACCGTGTGACCTGGTTTGGTAGCAGAGGGTTTTAAATGGCCTTTGAGAACCAAGTAGGGGTGAAGGGGATTAGAGCAAGATTGGGCTGCGCTGTGGCTGTGATAGAAGAGTAAAAATCCATTCAACATGTGCCGACATGTGCCGTCTGGCCTTCTGCTCTATGCACCAGTCAGGATATTGAAAGCGTATTTAGAGAGGGTGGACAGGAAGGGTGGGGTGGTTTCCGGTGTTGGTAATTTTTTTCATGTTTTGTAGTCCTACCTGGGAAACTTCCTCCCACCTTTGGTTTCCAGTTCTCTTGACTTGACCTGCTGGAGTAGATCTGGGATGGAGGAATTGGCCAGATCATTTTCTCACTTGTGCATTAGCATGGCACCTTGTGGTGTGTCCTGGTGACCCTTCAATATTTTGTAAACAGTGGGGGCCAAGCAGTCTGGCCAGTGTCACCCCTGTCGTCCTGTCCCCTCCAACTTAACAGCCCCCATTTTCCAGGGACCCGGTTTGGAGCCATGCTGGACATGCTGACCGACCGCTGCTCCACCATGTGTCTGCTGGTCAACCTCGCCCTGCTGTACCCCCGTGCCACCCTTCTCTTCCAGCTCAGCATGAGCTTAGACGTGGCTAGTCATTGGCTGCACCTCCACAGGTCTGCAGCCTCCAGGGCTTGGGTCGCTGGGAAGAAGCCGGGTGGGGGTACCATGGGAGATCTGGGATGGCTTCTGGCTTCTCGGGCTCTTTGTTGAAGGACCCTGGGCTGATCTCGACAGCCAGTTGACAGTTGGACTAAGTGTTCCCTAAAGCCTTCAGACTAGGTCGTGGATGATTCCAGATAGGTAACAACAGTTCTTAGCAAGCACTGTAGCAAACGATTTGCTTGAGGGGCTGGAGAGATAGTACAGCGGGTAGGGTGTTTGCCTTGCACACGGCCGACCTGGGTTCGATTCCCAGCATCCCATATGGTCCCCTGAGCACCACCAGGAGTAACTCCTGAGTGCAGAGCCAGGAATAACCTGTGCATCGCCACCCTGTGACCCAAAAAGAAAAAAAAAAAGAAAAAAACGATTTGCTCGAGAGGGCACCAGTAACATCTCCATTGTGAGACTTGTTACTGTTTTGGCATATCGAATATGTTATGGGGAGATTGCCAGGCTCTGTCGTGTGGGCGGGATACTCTCGGTAGCTTGCCGGGATCTCCAAGAGGGACAGAGAAATCGAACCCGGGTTGGCCACGTGCAAGGCAAACTCCCTATCCGCTGTGCTATCACACCAGCCCTTGGCAAAGGATATGGAATTTTGAATGTAGGTTTTGAACCCTGCCTTTGCCCCCAGCTAGGTAGCTGTGTGGCTTTTGTGACCCTGACTGAGCCCCCGTTCCTCCTGGGCACTGCAGAGGCCATCCCAGGAGCCCCCTGGAGGGTGGCAGGAAGAGCTGATGGGTGCAAGTGGTCATGGCCTCTCATGGCTTCCCTCTTCGTTCTCCCCAGTTCTGTGGTCCGTGGCAGTGAGAGTCACAAGATGATCGACCTGTCTGGAAACCCCGTGCTCCGCATCTACTACACCTCCAGGGTGAGCGTTCCCTGACCCCACCGGGGAGGAAGGGCCAGCCCGCCCTCGAAGGGTGATGGGCAGGGCCTGGAGCTGCAGGTCGGCTCTCAAAAGGTTTAGCCATGCCACGGAGCGTGGACTTCATTCTGGGAGCAAAGGCAGCCTCTGAAGGCACCTGCTAGAGATAAGTCACGTGGTACTGTTGCTCTTTGCTCCACCCTCGCCCCCTACCTTGTCAGTACGGTGCCTCCTGCTCCATCTCCTCCCAGGGGCTCTGGGTGGTGGAGGGGGGCAGGGGACCCCAACGCAGCATTGTTTGGCTCTTCCCGCAGCCCGCTCTGTTCACCCTGTGTGCCGGCAATGAGCTCTTCTACTGCCTCCTCTACCTGTTCAACTTCTCCGAGGGCCCTTTAGGTAGGAGGTGGGCCCGGCGGGGGGGGAGGGAAGGGTTCTGGCCGGTGACCCCCAGGCCCCTTCCCTTGCCTGTGTCTCATTTTCCTGGTGTCCCCTGCTCTCTAACCCACAGTGGGCTCGGTGGGCCTTTTCCGGTTGGGCCTCTGGATCACCGCCCCCATCGCCTTGCTCAAGTCCCTCATCAGTGTTGTCCACCTGGTCACAGCTGCTCGCAACATGGCTGCCCTGGACGCGGCAGACCGCTCCCGGAAGAAGTGACCCCGAGCCTCATGCCCCTGGCTGCCACCTGCCCTGGGAGTCGAACTGTGCCACGCGGCTCACCTTCCCTTCTAGAAGGTTCCAGGCCCCCATCTTCCTAATGTGTGGTCTGATCTGCTAGAAGGGCCACTTTGCTCTCCCACCCCTGTGATGTGTATGGACCTGGACCTCAAACCAGAGGGATGCTCGCGGACAGTGCTCTTGGGTGCCAGGATGCCAATCAGGGCTGGACATTGTTACACCCAGCTGCCTCCGCTGGTGGCCGGGCTCTCAGCCCTGGGGTCTGGCTTGGGTCAAGCCAGGGATACTTGAGTGAGGGAGATAGGGGAGAGGCTATGTATCCCCAAAAGCAGAGAGCCAGCCTCTGCCCCTGCACAGAGGAAGCCGCAGGTGCCACACCTAGGAGAGGGGCCTCTAGCTCCTTCCTGCACTGCGGTCTTGTCCATCTAGCTCTGAAAGCCGCGTAATAAAGGTGGGAGCCTCACTTTCCTGGGTGTGGTTTCCTTTGAGAGCCCTTGGACCAGGATGTATGTGGAAGGGAAATAGGAAGATCTTTTGAGATGCTTCCCCCTAGTGTACTGTAGGCTCCTTCTGACATTCCACAGTGACTTCAGAGAGGACCTCTCTGCCACCAAACTCATGTCACATCCTCTTGCCTGCTTTCTTTTCTACACGAAATCCACACTGGCTGTCTACGTTTATTTGTATATCTGATGTTTCTGCCCCCATCAGAATGTAATTTCCACGAGGGCACAGACTTGTTCCTTGTCTATCCCTACAATGAAGAGTGATCTTAACCGAGCCTACAGTAGCTGCTTAATAAATATTCACAAATAGATCAGTTGGCTTCTTGTGTAGTCCTTAATCTCTTTAAAGTATTTTTAAAGGATGTTTCTTAAATGGGTTGGAGTGATAGCACAGCGGTAGGGCATTTGCCTTGCTCCCGGCCGACCCGGGTTCGATCCTCTGCCCCTCTCGGAAAGCCTGGCAAGCTACCTGTGATATATTCTGTTTGTCAAACACAGTAACAAGTCTCACAATGGAGACGTTACTGGGCCCGCTGGAGCAAATTGATGAACAGCAGGAGGACAGTGTTAACAGTGCTACAGTTTCTTAAATACTCAGCTTGGGGTGGGGTGCATGTGGGCAGAGTGATAGTACAGTGGGCAGGGCACTTAGCTTGAACAGTGCTGACCCGGGTTCCATCCCTGGCACCCCATATGGTCCCCCCATGCCCTTCAGAAGTGATCCCTGAGTGCAGAGCCGGGAGTAAGCCCTGAACACCTCCAGAAAAACTCAACTTTAGGGGGCTGGAGAGATAGTACAGTGATAGTTATTGCCTTGCATGTGGTTGAAGCTGGTACAGTCCCCAACACCACATATGGTCCCCTGGCCACCTTAAGGTGTGACCAAAAGAGCAACTTTGGCTCTGGGGGCAGGGAGATAACTTTTGGGTTTTTGAGGAGTGTTGGGGGCGGGGGCGCACCCAGTGATACTTACCAGGGGCTTACTCCTGACACTGTACTCAGGGATCACTCCAGGCAGTGCTCTGGGAGCCATAGAGGATGCTGGGGACCAAAGCCAGATAGTGCCCTACCCATTGTACTATCCAGCCCCATGGCAGGGAGATAAAAGGAGCATGCAGGAGCTGCTGTCGTGTCCCTTAAGCACTGCTGGATGTAAGAAAATTTTCAGCTTCTTGGCCCCTGTACCAGAAACTTCAGAGTCCATCTCTAGGGATGAGCTCGTTCTGCAGATTTAATTAACTCCAGCAGGCTGAATCTCCCTAGTGACATTCCGAATGACTATTCTCAGATATTTTGGGGCACCAGACACATCTATGTATTAGGCACTATTCTAGGGCTCTGTTCCCTGAAGCTACCATCTGAGCTTTCTCAGCTGTCTGCCACGGGTTTTCTTTTTGAAACTCTCTTGGTGCTGTCCCTGAGCCGGACTTTGCAGATGTTTCCCCTTTTCTCTTCCTCAGAACATAATCAAGAGGCGTCAGTGTCCTGGAGAGCCGAAGGTGAACAGAGATGTTTTGGGCCTCACTGTGGAAGGCGTTCAGAGGTTCTGGTCATTCCTTGCGAACCCTGGGAGGGGGTTGGTGTAATGCAGTGAGGGTGTAATGCTGGTGGGGCTGGGAACAGGGCGTGCTACAGCACTTTGTTTTGGCGATGGGGAGGGTATCCTGAGTCGAAGGTTGGGAGGAGTAGGGGTGAGCAGAAGAGCTGATTGGTGCTCAGAGAGGAAACTGGGATGCCGGAGAGCAGCTTTGGTGGTTTTGGGAATGGAAATAGAAACAGATCAATGTAGCTGGAACAGGGAGTACTGGGAGAGATGAGAGCCCAGTTAGGCATTAAAACATCCTGGGAGCCTCAGGGAGTCAGTGGAGAAATCTCAAAATGATAGATAAAATATTCACATGGTGAGGCTGGAGTGATAGCACAGTGGGTAGCGTGTTTGCCTTGCACGTGGCTGGCCCAGGTTCGATTCCCAACATCCCATAGGGTCCCCTGAGCACCTCCAGGAGTAGTTCTTGAGTGCAGAGCCAGGAGTAACCCCTGTGCATCACCAGGTGTGACCCAAAAAGAAAAAAAAATTCACATGGTAAATGAGATCTCGTGCACTGACCTGGGCTCATAGAGTCTCCTACCGCCTCAAACTCTGCTCTGCTGGTCATCTCTGCTGGTCATTGCTCAGGACGCCAAAAGCCCATCTATGCAGATAACCATCCCCCGCCACCCCCGCCCCCATACTGTAAATTTTGTTTCACTCACGCTGTTCTGCTAAGACCCTTAGTTTGGGTGTGCCTTGCCTCAACTCACAGTGACACGCATGTGGGCTGAGCTGTAAAACAATCCTCTCGTGGGGATTCTCCAGAGCCCTGAGGCCAAGGGCATACAGCAGCCACAGCAGCTGCTCAAGGGCAGCATGAAGTTCTATTCTTTGTTCAGGTCCTGCCTCCGTGAACAACGGGCTAAGACACCTGGATCACCTTCGTGCTTCTGAATCCTGGACACCACATCGCTGAGTGCAGGAAAGTCACAGGGACTGGCTCGCACTGGAGGCAAATGGTAGTTCAAAGCTGAGCTGCCATCATTTGTCTGAGCTACGGTCTCCTCAGGCAGAAGAAGGATGCAGTGTCCCCCAGCCGCTGTCCCGAGGCTCTCTGGCCTTCTTCACGCCTGACACTCCCGGCCTGAATCCTGACTTTCATTCTGGCCTCTGTTCTCGCCCCAACCCATCACCTCCCTCCCCTAGCCAGAGACCTCTGAGCACTTCCCCAAGCCAGTAGCCCTGACCAAGTCCTTGTTTTCTTGGCTCCACTGACAACAGAAGTCTCTAATGTCTGCAGTCTCAGCCACGGGGGATCTAAAAGGGTGCGAGAGGTGCCTGGGGTGGCTGGTGCAGAGCCCCACCTCCAGGTTGGCACTTGTTCTCCACACTGGCCCTACAGTCCACCAGTAAGTGACCCCTGGAGAACACCGACATGTCCAAGGGTGTCACCCCTGGTTATCACAGCCACAGAAACCGGGAAGGAAAGGTGAACTTTTCGGGTCTTTTTTTTGTGTGTGTGTGTGTGTGTGTGTGTGTGTGGAGGGTTGGGTCAACCCAGTAATGCTCAGGGCTTATTCCCCCAGCTCGTTGCTCAAGATCACTCCCGGGGGCTTGGGTGACCATATGTGGTGTCAGGGATGGAACCTGGGTTGGCCAAATGCAAGTCAAGTGCCCTACCCACTTTTCTGACCCAAAGGTGGATTTTTTTTCTTTTTGGGTTAAGGTACACCTGGCGATGCACAGGGGTTACTTCTGGCTCTGCACTCAGGAATCACCCCTGGCGGTGCTCAGGGGATCATATGGGATGCTGGGAATCGAACCCGGGTCAGCCGCGTGCAAGGCAAATGCCCTACCCGCTGTGCTATTGCTCCAGCTCCAAGGTGCACATTTTTTTTTTTTGCTTTTTGGGTCACACTTGGCGATGCTCAGGGGTTACTCCTGGCTCATGCACTCAGGAATTGCTCCTGGTGGTGCTCGGGGGACCATATGGGATGCTGGGAATCGAACCTGTGTTGGCCATGTTGGCTGCATGCAAGGCAAACGCCCTACCTGCTGTGCTATCGCTCCAGCCCCAAGGTGCACATTTTTTAAAATAAAAAATAAAAAGCAGAGGGAAGGGCATGTAAGGGTGAGTGAGACCTTTGCCTTGCACACAGTTGTGGCAGCTGCATCCCTGGTTCAAGCCCCTGAGAACAAGCAGGACTGCTCCAGAGCACAGAGCCAGGAGTAGCCCTGAGTACCAGCAGGTGTGGCTGAAATTCCAATAAATAAGTAATAAAGATGGGGGCGTGTTGGACAGGAAACTAAGCCTCTTCCACTGAAGGTGAAGGAACCTGAGGCCTTGGGGACCAGCACCGAGGCTCAATCTCTGCCTTTTGATGTTTCTTGTCCCGTGTCCAGTGCACTGAGCCCAGGAGAAACGGCACCAAAACTGGCCCTGTGACCTGGTGGAAGGGGTGGAAAATCAAGGCTGACTTGTCTCTGGAGTTGTTTCTTGTCTCTGGACTTGTTTCTTGAACCAAACCAAACACAGGTTTGGTTCAAGAAAGATAAAGCAGTCACATTAATTGTTGCTATGGTTTGCAGAATTCATGTGCTGAAGAATTCATGTGCTGAAGCCTAATGCCCAGTGTGAAGGTGTTGGAGTTGGGTTTTAAGAGTGAAAAAGTTCGTGGAGTTCATGCCCAACTCAATCAGCTTAATCAATGACTGAGTAAATAGCACTACTCCTACATTATATTAAAAAAAAAAAAAGAGTGACAAAGTCCTAGGGTTGGAGCAATAGTATAGCAGGGAGGGCATTTGCCTTGCATGTCGCTGACCCGGGTTCAATCCCAGCATCTTTTATGGTCCCCTGAGCACCACCAGGAGTAATTTCTGAGTGCAGAGCCAGGAGAAACCCCTGAACATCACTGGGTGTGACCCAAAGAGCCAAAAAAAAAAAAGTGACAAAGCCGTTAGTGCCCGAAGGACCAAAGGACCAGAAGGATATACCTCTGCATTCTTTTGGTCCTTCCTTCATGGCAAGAAGATGCTAGCTCGGAGCAGACTTGGCCATGCTGGTGCCTTCATCCAACTTCCAGCCTCCTAAACCAGAAGGTAAAAAAATCTTGACTCACATGGGGCTGGAGCAATAGCACAGTGGATAGGATGCTTGCCCTGCATGCAGTCAACCTGGGTCGGTCCTCAGTATCCCATATGGTCCCCCAAGCAGCGCCATGAGTAATTCCTGAGTGCAGAGCCCAAAGAAACTCCTGGCGCATCACTGCTGGGTATGGCACAAAAACATAAACCAAAATAAAAATCCTGGCTATCAGCTCCCTTAGCCCAAATGAAATATGATATACATACAGTCATCACTTTCTAGAGCTCAACTTTGTTCATCAGATAACATGAATGGTCAATCTGCTCATTCCACTCCAGAGGAAGACGATTTAAAGAGTAGCTTCCCTTGTTACTCCACTGGATTTTCCAACAGTAGGTAAGTGTGGTAGCCATGACTGGGACAGACTGTTGTGATAACTAGTCCTGCCCTAAATCTTGGCAAACATGTATCTATTGCCTGCCTCTCTGGGTGATCTGAGCCCGGGATCTGCTTCATGCCATCTTCTCTCTGGGAGGGTTTGGGATATCGCTGGCCAACACAGAAATGGAAAAGAGAGCAGAGATGGTACCTCCCCTTGCATTTCACCGGGGAAAGTGAGTATTGGAGATCCAAGTGGGGACATGAAGTCATGGATTAGAAATGAGTCCAGAGGGCCCAAGGACAGTTCAATGACAGAAGCATATGCCTTGCAAGCCTAAGGACATGAGTTTGAACCCCAGTGACACCAAGCATGGTCTTAGCAGCTCTGCTCTTTGGGGTTCCCAGCACTGAGGCAGATTTCCAGCACACCCTGAAGAAGGGAGACTACCTGGACAGGGATCTGACTATCGGCAACCTTGTATCTGAGTACCACAACCAAGAGTGTGGTAGCTGGGAGTCATACAGCAGCAGCAAAGAGGAAAGGGAGAGGGGTCAGAGCAATAACAGGTAAAGCATTTCCCCTATGTTTATTCCTGCATGTGGCTGACCTGGGTTCAATCCCCGGATTTCCATATGGCCCTCCAGCACCGCCAGGAGCAACTCCTGAGCATTGCTGGGTGTGACCCCCAAACAATAATAATAATAATAATAATGATGATGATGATGATGATGATGATGATCCCAAAGCTCAGGGTAAGAAAAGAAATGAAAATAAGGACCTTGAATTCACTGGTCCTGAGGCTCCAAAGCTGTGAGACTGATCAAGAGTGCAGCTGAGTGAGAGAACCGGACCCAGGATGTCAGAGATAAAGAAAGTGGGGCCAGGGCCATTGGACAGTGGAGAGGGTGTTTGCCTTCCATAGTCTGACATGGATTTGATCCCAAGAATCCCATATGGTCTCCTAAGCACCACCAGGAGTGATTCCTGAGTGCAGAGGCAGGTGTAACCCCTGAGCATCACCGGGTGTGGCCCCTCCAACTCAAAGAGACAGACAAAGTGGAACAGGCCAAGGACACAAGAGCTGCCACTCAGGTGGCAAGCAAAGTGAGTGGCTGTGTGACAGCAGCAGCTATTGGACAGATCTGGGGGACGTGGAGGAGGAACCGTTCCTGGGACAAAGGGACAGGATGAGGAGAGCCTGTCTCTGTCTAGCAAAAGGGACGCAATTAGTGCTGTGGAGCACGTGGAGGTAGGGCGTGGAGACACAGCTGAGAGGCCTGGGCCTTTGCAGAGCGCAGAGGAGAGGAATGGAAACCGAGGATAGCAGTGTGGAGGGAGACCAGGGTGAAGGAGACTTCGCCTGTAGTCTATCTGGTGGTGGGGAGAATGTGTCACCCACAGTGACTAGCACCCAGGGCGGCATGAGAGGGACACTGGCCTACAAGTGCTCCAGGACAGGGGTGGGGAACCCAAGAAGAGTGGGGTCAGCGGGAGCCTCCGCAGTGGGAACGAGGGCCGAGAGTAAAGGCAGCAATTTGCGAGATGGGGGAGGGTGTCTGTTCTCCCGGGGAGTAAGAGATGGTGGGCAGCGGTGTGGGAGGTCGGGGAGAGGAGGTGTGAAGATTTCTCCCAGAGAAGCACAGTCAGAGCCCTCGGCCTACTTTCAGCTGCCTCTCCGCCTACTTCCACATAGAGCGAGCACCATCTGCCGAGCGGCGGCCCAGGCATGCTCAGATGCAAGGCTGAGGGCCCCGTGGGCAAAGGAGCAAGGCTTGAATGGCTCGGCCCCGCACAGTGGAGAAACTAAGGCAGAACGGCGGACTCGGTGGAGTTGCCTCTGCTAAGCACACAGGACTCAGTCCTAACTTTTCTCTCCACCTCCAATAGCGGGAACATCCCCCTTGCCGCTGTGAGGCAGAGCAGCATGAGGGCTGGGGCCCTGCAGCCTCTCTGGTGTTTCCTCTCCAAATGATAGTGTCTCTCTGTTGGGGGAGGAAGTTGACGGGGTTTCCCTGATGCTCCAGAAAAGCCCACAGGGGAAGTCCAAGGGAGCATCCCAGATCCCTGCCTGGAGGGAAGACATGAGAAGTCCCCCGCGCCTGACGCTGCACCTTATAACCAGCAGGTGGCGCCAGGGGAGGCTCCGCTGCAGGGCGCCAAAAAGCAGCTCCCCACATCCCAAGTCCTCACCAACCTGCACGGCGGATCGTGCAGGCTCCAGCGCCCTGCCCTGGAGTCTAGCAAAAATGACTGCTAGGAAGAAAGTCTGCCTGGTTAGGACTTTGGGGTTAGGAGGCCTGAGCAACAAATAGTACAGGGGATAGGGTGCTTGCTGACACAGGTTCGATCCCCGTTCCTCCATATGGTTCCTGGAGCCGGGCCAGGAGTGAGCTCTGAGCGCAGAGCTGGGATCAAGCCCTGAGACCGCCAGGTGTGGACCCCTCCTCCTCCCGTAAAAAAGGATTTGGGGTCTTATGACTTGAGGTTAGTTTTCTCCCTGCCTCAATTTCCCCAACGCTTTAAGATAAGGAGAATGTGAGGAGGGCCTTTAGCAGAGGCCCAAATTTACTTGGTCTACTACCCCTTACAATCCGCCCCCCCCCCCACACACACACACTTATTTTGGGTGTGGGCCGCGCCTGTGCTCAGGGTTCACACCTGGCGGTGCTCCGGGAACAATAAGGGAGACCAGGGGCTGTGCTATCTCTCTGGTCCCTACCAACTCCTTTTAAGGAAAAAAAAAATTATGCAGGGCCCACCACCCCAGAAATCTGCCTTCTTTCAGCAACTTACCTTTAAGTGCATGATAGGAAGCCCCCTTCCAGTTACACCTGAGGTCACTAGTGTCCCCCCACCTCCGATCAGGGGCAGTGCTACTCACTTTGGAAAAGACTCTAATAATTTCTATCACAATATTTCAAGGGTGCCCTCTCCCTGCCCCCCAACAGTCCATTAAGCTCCCCTGTGTTATACCAAAGGCAGCAGAGAAGGGGTGAAATTCCTAGAAGTTAGTTTTATTTGTCAGTACAGAGGCGAGCTCAGAGTATTTTCCTCGAAGAACCAATTCCTAGATTCCTAAAGTCTGGGGGGCAAAGCCTTCTTGGGAGGGGCTTTCCTTGTCTGTCTTCCTGCCAGGGGTCTGGCCAAGTCCCTGCCCCAGGAGGCCAAAGGCTGTGCTGAAGAGATTGATGGGGGTGGAACCATCGGTGATGAGGGTGGATTTCAGGCCCAGGCTCTGGAGCAGTTTCACCTGGAGGAGCGAGAGGAAGGCAACGGATCGGGTCAGGCTCTGGTCCCTGCTCTTGCCTGGGCCATCCTCCTGACACAGCAACTGCCTGAGCCATCCTCAAAGACTCACAGGGAGCAGCTGGGCCCCTGAGCCTGTCATCCTCGGGGGCCGTGGGCTGGAAGGCTCTGGCTGCTCCCTGCAGCTGCCACTCCCTCCAGCCCATGATGCTCACCAGCTGTGGCCATCCCTTTCTCTTCCTTACAGGCACCATGTTTCACTGGACTGTGTCCTGGTGACCTCGTGTCAAGGACCCCTCCTCAGTGACACTCCCAAAACTAGCTCATCAGAGATGTCACTGCTCCTTCACCAGGCGACTGTTCTGTTTGTGTCCTCCCCCCCCCACCCCCCCACCCCCACCCATCACCAGCTCACAGCTCACAGCCAAACCCAGTGCAGCCCGGTAGGATACTCAAGGGAGCAGTAGGACTTTGGCAACAGGGTCCCCCCGGTCCCTCCTCCTTTACCCCCTCTGCTCCGGAATCTCTCTCCAAGCCGAGCTTGTCGCCCTGGTTCTGCCCTGCTGGTTCCAAGTACTGTGGCCGTATCTCAGCTGCGTCTCACCTGCATCTCAGGCCCCGCCACAGCGATGTCCCGGATGGTGCCTGCGCCCAGGGCCTCTGTCATTTGCTGGAACTTCTTCACCTCCACCTCAGCCAGTTGCTGGGCCTTGCTCACCTCCAGTTCCAGCTGGGAGCGGGCATAGGCCAGTTCTAGGTCTCGTACTTTCTGTACACGCTGGAGCTCAGCCTCCTACATGGGAGAAAACCCACCTTCTTGAGAGTATGTGGAGAGCGGTGGTGGGACGGGGGGGAACAGCAGGCTGGCGGGGGTGTGTTCTCAGTCAGGGACCCAGGGGAGTCCCCACATTCACACACAGTTGGTCACGTTCAGTAAGAGCACATGTGGAGCGCTGGAGCGATAGCACAGTGGGGAGGGCGTTTACTTTGCACGTGGCCGACCCGGATTTGATTCCCAATATCCCATATGGTTCCCTGAGCACTGCAAGGAGTAATTCCTGAGTGCAGAGCCAAGAGTAACCCCTGTCCATCACCGGATGTGACCCAAAAAGTTAAAAAAAAAAAAGGGCACACGTGGAAATGTCAGTCATGGTACAAAGCTGGCTGGTGCTAGGCACGTACTGATCAGCGACCCTGCTCTCCTTACAGGTGGGGTGACCTGATCAGCGAGCTGAGGACTTTGTAAACCACCATGTATTTAAAAGGGTTGCGCGAGGGCACTTAGCACTGCTCATATTCCAGATCTTCAGCGTCTTCCAGACCCCGCCACAGTGACTCCCCCGCTCACCGTCTCAATGGCCAAGGCTTCTGCCTTCAGCTTGGCCTGCAGCACGGACCCTTGTCCCTCGATGCGCGCGGCCTCTGCACGGGACTCTGCCTCGGCCTTGGCGGACCCGGTGCTCTCCACGGCGGTGCTGTGGGGGCGCAGATCCGGAGATGAAGCCCACACCCACACACCCTGCCCTCTGGCCTTTTATATTTCAACAGGGGAAGGAATGTGGGTCACATTCAGCACTGCTCAAGGCTCCCTCCCAGCTCTGTGCTCAGAGGTCACTCCTGGCGGGTTCAGGGAGGTGATAAGGACAAGCTTGGGATCGGCTGTGTACAAGACATAGGCCTTACGCCCTGCCCACTGTTCTATCACTCTGCCCCCCCACCCCGACCCTGACTTAGGCTCAGGAACCTCCCGCACCCCATCTGTGCTTTCCTGGCTAATATTTCCACCCACCTCAGCGCCTCCAGCTCCAAGAGTTCCCTGCGAGCCTTTTCCGCCTCCGACTGGTCCAAGATCTTCTGCCGCTCCAGCCGGCCTCGCGCCTCTTGTTCAAGTCTCTGAGCTTCATGCCTGGGTGGGTGGGAGGGATGGGTGAGCTGCTGTCATGGGCATAGCGCTGGGGAGGGCTCCAAGGCCAGAGATCACCAACGTATGAGTGCCAGGCAGGTCAGAGGGCACCTGGCAGCACCAACAGGCGGCTGAGTAGCAGGGCACACCTTCAGGCACATGCCCAGCCGTGGGAACGAAGGCCACCTCCCACACGGCCCACCTTCCAAGCGGCTGACCCCTGACTGCAGCCCGCACACAAGAGCTGTGATAACAACCAGGCAGGGGAGCTGCTTGCTGGAGGGGTCCCCCGGGGCTGAGGTCAGAGCAGCAGACTGGCCGGAAGACATTCTGGGTAGAGGGAAGAGCTGGTGCAGACTACGTTAGGGTGTGAGGCCCAGTTGTGCGTTTGGGGAGAGAAAGCTGTGCATGAGTTTGGGGAGACGGCTGGAGGTGAGGGGGGAAGCACGGGGAGTTCCAGAGCATCTCAAAGGCCATGGAATGTGGTTCCAGAACAAGATAGATAAGAAGCCAGAGCAGCCCCTATTCACACACCAGCAGGCTGTGCCATGAGCAGGCCCAGATGCCAGAGGGTGCCAGGTGAGCAGGTCTCGGCGGAGGGCCAGAGACACGAGCGCCACTCACTTGGCTGCTGCCTCCTGGGAGTTGGTGGTGATCTCGATGGCCAGCTGCACGCTGCGCTGCAAGGCGTCCCGCGTCCTCTGGTCCACAGGCTCCACCGACTGCACGTCCACGCTGCTGACTACGAGTCCATTTTGTGGGAAGAAGGCCCTATCCCGGGCGTGGGGCATGCCGTCGGGCCCCTTGGCTCCCTCGGTCTCAAAGCCAAAGACGGCCGTGCGAATGATGCGGGCCGAGTTCTTGTGGAAGTCATCGAAGGTGACAGAGGCCACGGCACCCCGCACCCGGGAGGCGATGGCCTTGCAGGCATCACCCACAAAGTCGGGCACTGAGAAGAGCTTGGCTGTCTCTTGAGGGTCTGTTCGATCACTTATCTCAAAGTGCCTGGGAACAAAGAGATCCAAAGAGGGAAGCCGCTGCAGGAAACCAGTGCTCACCACGTGCCAGGTAAGCACCTTAGGAACTCACACATGGGCCCCCATTTAATTCTCTCAGCCACCCTCTGGGGTGAAGTCAAGATCAGCCAGTTTTCAGGCAAGAAAAGTGGTCTAGAGTGGCAAAACCGGGGGCCCACAGTCACTACCTGGCAGTTGGTGGACCCTGCAGCATCGCCCCACGCTCTGTCGCTCATCACCCCTGAGATGTCAGAGTCCCGTTTTCCTCTGCCATGGTCCTGACACCCAGCCAAGAGGCACACACGAATCCCCTGGAGACTTCACCTTCCCCAGTCTCCCCATTCGGACAGCTCCCGTGGCTGTTCTGACACCAGACACAATTCTCGAGTTTCCTTTCAATGCCAGCGGAAGCAAAGGTTCTGCAAGGGGCCGCTACATCATCGCACAGGAGAAGACAGGAAAGCGCCAGGTCTACAAACAGGCCAACAGCAGGGCGGATGCAGAAGCAGGCGATGGGCTCCAGGGCAGGTGCCCCGTGCCACTGTTAGTGATCTTGGTGATCTCATAACTTGCATCAGCCTTGATTGAGCTGGTTCACCCGCTATGTTCCTGAAGTCCTGCTCCCAGGAGGCATGCCTGCATTCCCTACATTCCCCTTGGGCATCGTGGCTTCAGGGAGCCCTTGGGCACCCCCTTCACAGAAGTGTGGGTGGCACTCCGAGGAGGCTCTCCCCACAGCCCCAGGAGAACCCTCACCAGTTGTAGGCGAGCTGCAGCTGCAGCCGGGCGTGGTCCGCGGATTCGATGGTGATGAGGTCGGTGAAGAAGTCCGGCCCCAGCAACAGGCAGAGGGACCGACGGGCATGTGCCATCTTGGGCCGCCCAGCCGAGAGGGACAACACCGTGAACTGCTCCTCTGGACCCAGCGACACCAGTTCAGGCCCAAAGACCACCCTACCGGGGGAATGGGGGAGTCAGGCAGGGGAGCTCACGTCCCGTCCAGCCCCGACCCAGCCCGGGGGTCACACCTGAAGCTCCCACCCTCAGTCCCGGTTCCAGGCCCTCAGGCCCCGCCCCATCCCCTGGCCACATCTGAACCCCCCCCTTGGTCCTGGCTCCAGCCCGCTGGCTCCGCCCCAAGCCCCACCTAGGCCCTCGGCCCCATCCCGCGGCCCCTCCCCGCCCCCTCAGGCCCCGCCCCGGTTCTCACCGGGCTTTCTTCGCCCTGTAGTCGTACACTTGCACCGCTGCGTTGTGAGGCACCCGGTAGCTGACCACACGCGTCTTGTTCCGGATTGTGCTGGGCGGCGAGACCGTGGATAGGTTCATTTGCCTCCTGTCGGCCAGAGGGTCCTGCACCTTGCTCAGTAGCTCCTCCACCCCGGGGGGCAGCTCCTTCTCCCACAGGACTTCGTCCTGGCTCAGCATGTAGGTGGTGCCGATCACAGCCCGCACCTGAAAGGACAAGTGCCCACAGTGAAGGGAGAGGGAGACCCCCGTGCCACCCCACCTGAGGCAGAGCCACTGGCGGCCAGGTAGCAGCGCGTTAAAGGTGGTCTCTAAAATGAGGTTCGGGAGGCTGGAGGGACAGCACAGCGGGTAGGGCGTTTGCCTTGCACGCTGCCGACCGGGGTTTGATTCCAGCATCCCATATGGTCCCCCAAGCACCTCCAGGAATAATTCCTGAATGCAGAGCCAGGAGTAACCCCTAGCTGTGACCCAAGAAGCAAAGTAAAGTAAAGTAAAGGCCCTCCCGTTGATCATCGATTTGCTCGAGCGGGCCCAGTAACGTCTCCATTGGAGACTTTGTTGTTACTGTGTCTGGCATATCGAAAACTCTCGGTAGCTTGCCAGGCTCTCCGAGAGGGGCGGAGGAATCGAACTCGGGTCGGCCATGTTGGCTGCGTGCAAGGCAGACGCCCTACCCGCTGTGCTATCGCTCCAGCCCAAGAAGCAAAAATAAATAAATAATAAATGAGGCTGGCTTGGCTTCCCGTTGGCCACTCTGTGGCCTGAGGCATGGCTGGCATCTTACGCCCAGTAACCTGGTTATTGTTTTTGTTTGTTTTTTATTTTTTACAGGCCACCCGGTGGTGTTCAGGGCTTATTCCTGGTGGGGCTTGAGCGACCATGGAACAGCTGAGGGAAGAGATTGTCCACTAACTATATTGTACGGTTGTTGTTGTTGTTGTTGTTGGGTTTTTTTTTTTTTGGCTTTTTGAATCGCACCCAGTAATGTTCAGGGGTTACTCCTGGCTCTGTACTCAGGAATTACTCCTGATGGTGCTCAGGGAACCATATGGGATGCTGCGGATCAAACCCGAGTTGGCCGAGTGCAATGCAAACGCACTCCCTGCTGTCCTATTGCTCCAGCCCTAGGTTATAGTCTTACAAAAAGAACCTGAAAGTGTGATTATAGGTGAGACAAAGGTCAAGATTTCAGTGAATAAGGCTAAGAGGAAGAACTCTACCAGAATGCAGTCAGTGGGAGGCTGGTTTGTCTGGTTTTTGTTTTTTTTCCAGGCCATACCCCAGTGGGGACAAAGTCGCCATCCTAAAACCCGGCTCATTTTAATACCTGAGCACTTCTAAAAATTCGAAATTAGACATTTAAGACAAAGGGAAGGCAAGTGGTCCAGGAATGCCCCACGCCCTCCAGCCCTGGCGATCCCAGCCCCTGCCTCTCCCCCTCTCACTGATCCGCTCCCCTCGCTGTTACCCGTCCAGTCTTGACGTCCTGCACGTAGATGCCCTCGTTCTCATCCAGAGGGATCGCATGGCGCTCCTCCACCACCTCCACCTTGGCTGACGGCACGTACTCCAGGGGCCCGCGGATGAGCCAGCGGTCCCCAGCCTGGCGTGCGACCTTCTCGCCGTCCTCCCCCTCCTCCACGGGCTGCAGAGCTCTCAGCAGCAGGCCTTGTTGCTCGGACAGCACATACACATTCTGGATGCCCCGTTCCAGCCTCTCTCCTGGTTGTAGGAAGAAGGACTTCTCTCCCTGAGGGGACACATGGGGTTAGAGTCACCTCCCAGAGCTGGGCACCACTCAGCATCATTTCTTTTGGGGGGGGGGGTAGGTCCTACAACTGGTGATGCTCAGGGCTTACTCCTGGCAGTGCTCAGGGGCCATACGGGATGCCGGGGATGGAACCCAGGGGCTCTGTGCCAGCAAGCGTCTTTTGTGCAGCACTATCTCTGCGGCCACATTTTCGGGGCCCTCTTGCAGCCGCATACAGCCCTGGGCTTGAGCTGGGGACAGGCCCTGAGGGTTCGTCCAGGGGGTGGAGGCTTCCCAGAAGCAACCCAGCTTCCTTCCAGCTTCGTCTGCTGCTCAAAATGCTGGGAACTGTTGGCTCTGGGGCCCACAACTCAAGGGTCAGGAATCAGCTCAGCTCCCTGCCTGGGGGTAGCCCCCAAGCACTGACAGATGGGGTCCAATTTTGTTTTTTAAAAAGAAAAGAAAAAAGATTAGTCTGGGTCTGGGGTGTGGCCAGCTTTGTTCTGGGAGCCAGGCAGTGTCAGGGGTCGTAGCAGACAAAGTAAGAACCTCTCTGATTCCTGTCCTGTTTCTTTGACCACACTATTAATTAAAAAAAAATTTTTTTTTTTGTTTTGCTTTTTGGGTCACACCAGCGATGCACAGGGGTTACTCCTGGCTATGTACTCAGGAATTATCCCTGGTGGTGCTCAGGGAACCATATGGGTTTCTGGGAATTGATCCCGGGTCGGCTGCGTGCAAGGCAAACGCCCTACCCGCTGTGCTATTGCTCCAGCCCCCACATTTTAATTTTTTAATTTTTAAAATTTTCTTTCCATGGTCACATCTGTTGGGAGCCCTGTGGGCCCAGGGATCCAACTTACAATCCACAAACCATGAGCTACTTTTCTAGTAACATCCTGATTCCCCCCGCTGCTTTGCTTGTTGGTTTCTCCCCACACACATACCCAGTGGTGCTCAGGGCTTACTCCTGGCTCTGCGCTCAGGGATCATTCCTGGTGGGTTCAGAGAAAATGGGATGCCAGGGATGGAACCTGGATCAACCACATGCAAAGCAAATGCCCTCCACGCTGTACTATTGCTCCAATCCTGCTTTTTTTGTTGTTGTTTTTAAATCTTGTTTTTATTGAGGGGAGTGGGGTCACACGAGGCAGTTCTCAGGGCTTATTTCTGGCTTTGCCCTTAGCAATCACTCCTGACAGTGCTCAGGGGACCATATGGATGGGGTCAGAGCGGGGGTTGAACAGAACCTGGGTCAGCAGCACACAAAGCAAGTACCCTGTCCACTATACGATTGCTCTGGCCCCTCTGCCTTTTTTTGTAAAAACATAAAAACATTTATACAGATATTATTTGGATACCATAATGTTTACCTGTGAGCAGAATGATGGTGCTTCTGCCTCAGTCTGCTTGGGAACAGCAACCAAGTTCACTTCATGACTGAACCAAAACCACATGATGACCTGGTGCCAGGCTGGGGCTGTCCCCTGGACCCAGTTCTCCCCTGGAGCCAGACTTCCCCAAGCCACACTTATTTCCCTTCCCTGGACTTTCACTTGTACTGGTTTGATTCACTAGAACCTTCTGGGAATGTGATCTCTGATGCTTTTGTGATCAGGTGACCGTCCTCTCTCCCCACGTGTTCTCCCCCGCAAAATGGGCTTGTTCCACTTTTTGGGGTGAGGCATAGCTTTCCCTTAATGGGAACTGGGTGGGCCTACCCCCACCCATGGTTTTCTCCATTTAAGAGGAAAGCATTTGGGGCTGGAGCAATAGCACAGCCGGTAGGGCATTTGCCTTGCACATGGCCGACCTGGGTTCGATTCCCAGCATCCCATATGGTTCCCCCAAGCACCACCGCCAGGAATAATTCCTGAGTGCAGAGCCAGGAGTAACCACTGAGCATCGCTGGGTGTGACCCAAAGAGCAGAAAAAAAACAAAACAAACAAACAAACAAAAATCTAGAATAAAGTGTGCCCCTGTACAGGTGTGGCCCAAAAAGCAAAAAAAATAAGAGAAGAGCATCTGGGATTTGGACCCCCATACCCTACTGCTGCTGCCTGGGCAGGGCCCTGGGTTCCCCATCTGAATGCACCAGACCCTGGGGGAGGTTTCTGGGCCTTGGATGTTAGGGACTTACCAGCCATCCAGGGGCAGGTACATTTCCTTACTTTTTTTTTTTTCCTTAAATTTTTATTAGTGAAACACCATGAGGTACAGTTGTAGACTTACAAATTTTTGTGAAATTTCCTTACTTTCTGAAAGCACTTTAATTAGATTTCCCTCCCCTAAAGCCCAGGAAAAGGAGGAAGGGACCCCCACCAGCCAGAGCATTTCTGTCTTTCAGCCTCTGTCTCTTCTAGTCTCTACTCTTCCCTGGTGAAGTTTAGGAGCAGAAAGTTCTTGGTCTCCTCATCCCCTTGCTTGCAGCATGTAGGGACCCCGCCACCCCCATCCCTCTCTACTCCCCAACCTCCTCAGTGTAGAAGTCTTGGGCATCACCTTTGTTAATAAAGAAAGTTCAACTGGCTTCTACACACACAATCATACATTTATAAAGCAAATGATTTCTTTTTAAATTCTGGGCTTCCCACACAGAGTTCAGGGGTCCTGAGAGACATTCACAGCTCACACGGCAACCGGGTCCTGGGGTGCAGTGCTGGGGTCCAAGGATGGGGTCCCGCTCAGCCCTGTGGTACTTCGACCCACCTGGGCCACCCCAGTGGTACTCTCCAGCGATGTGTGAGGAACCATGGGATCAAATGAGGTGCCTGGGATCAAGCATGTGCAGGGCACATGCTAGGCGTGCACCCCAACTGCTGTCTATCTCCCAGCCATAGTTCAGTTGTTTCAACGGATCCCCAGAGTTGTTCTATCATCACTAATTCCAGAACATTTTTGTCACCCTAAAAAGAAATCTTGGGGCCGGAGCGATAGTACAGTGGGTAGGGCGCTTGCCTTGTATGTGGCCGACCCAAGTTCAATCCCCTGCATTCCATATGGTCCCCTTAGCACCGCCAGGAGTAATTTCTGAGCACAGATCCAGGAGTAACCCCTGAGCATTGCTGGGTGTGACCCAAAAAGAAAAAAAAGAAAATATAAAGATATCTTATACCCTTATACAGTCTATTCTGTCTCCCACCAACCATGAATCTATTTTCTCCCCCAGAGGCCCAGAGGCCTGGCTGCAGGAGGAGTGATTTTAGCTCCAGTATCTTGTTTCGAAGGCCCCACCAAGGAGATTCCCATTCATCACCCTATGGGCATTTGGAGTCTTTCTACTTTTTTTCACCTTTTTCTGGTTTTTGCAAATCGAATGTTGCAGGAAGAGTACACTTTTTTGAGCAGTTGCTGAGCAGCTACATTCAGAGCCAGATGGTTTACCCTGCCCCAAAGACTGCCCAGCCGGCCCTTCAGAGCAGAGGGTACTTGCTCCCAAGGGTCCTGCATAAGGCGGTCTGAAGGGTAACGGGACGCCAATGGGTCCCTTTCGGGTCCCTTTCCCTCAAAAGGTGGGGGCTGGAGCTGTGGTGCGGCAGCAGGGCGCATGAGGAAAGTTTCAAAAACTAGAATGAGGGGCTGGAGCGATAGCACAGCAGGGAGGGCATCTGCCTTGCATGGGGCCAACCCAGGTTCAATTCCCAGCATCCTATATGGTTCCCTGAGCACTGTCAGGAGTAATTCCTGAGTGCAGAGCCAGGAGTAACCCCTGTGCATCACTGGGTATGACCCAAAAAGCAGAAAAAAAAACCCAAAAAACCTAGAATGAAGTGTGCCCCTGCACAGGTGGGAACCTCCCCGGCCTGGTATTTCTAGAATGTGCCTGTAGGGAGGCCTGAGAGGCTGATGCCCTGCAGGGAGGGGACACTCACCTTCACGACACGCTTCTGCCCCAGCTGGTTCTTGCCATCATCTCCGACGGGGTCGAGAATCACACAGTAGTTTTGGGGGCCCAAGGTGGTGATGGACACGACTCCCATCACTTCCTCATAAACATCTGGCACGTGGGCCTCAGTGTCCTTCACGGTCACCAGCCACTCCTCCCCAGTGCGCCGGGGGATCCCCCTCAGGTCCCGGAAGTTCTGCAGGGCCCGCAGGTGCAGGGCGGTCTGTGGAACAAGTACTGCGTTCCTGAGGGGTTCGCGGACCTTCCACCATCTGAGGCACAGTTTCTACCAAATCAGGGCAACTTTTGAACCCATTAAGGTGACCCAGAGAAACTCTGAGTTGTGGCGTTTTTGTGGTGCTGGGGACCAAACCTCAACCACGTTAGGATATATGCTCTAACCACTGAACCACATACCTGGCCCGATATTTTCCTGTTGTGACTTAACAAATATTGTCCTTCTCCTGAGTTCTCACTCTGCCACCATTTGCCATCACCACTCCGATCACTCCCTACCCCAGGAACCCGAATCCCTGTCCACCCTTACATTCCTTGCCCCCCCCCTCCCATCCCCACCCTTCACAAACCTTTTCCGTAAGAATTACAGCGTCCACCAAGTCCAGAACCTCCTCAAACACTGCTGGCAGGTAGGCACCCACAGTTCGGACCAGCCATTCCTCTCCTGAGTCAAGGGTGGAGGGTCAGAGGCAAAGGTCACTGGTCCCATTTCCCACCCACTGCCAGGATAGCAGAGAACCCACTGAAACCTCACAACTTTACTTATTCCTTCATTTGCTGGGTCACCTGGTGGCGCTCAGGAGCTACTCCCTGCCTGGGGGATGCTTCGGATGGAACCGGGGCCTCCTGCAGGCAAAGGTCTTGCCCAGCCTGTTGCGTCCATCTGAGAAGGAGATGCCACAGCCCCAGGTTCAAGGGTCGGACAGAAGCCTCAGTGCTTTTGAGGCTGGAGGAAAACAAACTGTTCCCCGGGAATGTTGATAGAAGCCCTTCAAAGTCCCTACACCCCCTGGGCCTTCCCCTAACGTGGGCGGCAGAACACGAGCCCGGCTGTACTGTCCTTCAGTTCTAGAAGGAACTATGGCAGTAGACAGATCCAGTTTTGCCCTTCCTGGCCACGACCCCTGGCAAGTCACTAAGGCTAGAGTTTCCGGTTTTGTCTTACAGAAGGAACGGTTCTGCCTCAGGGTTGTTTTGTGGCTCCAAATGGACAAGTAGTACAACTGCTAAAGAACAGTTCCTTTGTGATCACCAGTGTGTGCCCCTGGGGCAGCTCAGGGTAAAGGGTGCAGAGAGAAAGCTGGCCCTGTGATAATCACTGACTCCATAGAGTAGCAGCCTGAGCACGAGCTCACAGAGGCCCTTCCCTACAAGAGTAGCCACGAAGCAACCTCCCCCCCTCCCTCCAGACCCCTCTCTTTGCCCTTCCCACCTGTCACCCTCTCCTTGCCATCCCGGTCCTGGCATTCCTTGCGGGCCCGCAGCCGCAGAGCCTGGTTCTGCCTTATGATGGTGGCCTGAATGATCTCCACCACTTCCACTTCCTTCCGGGGGATGTACGTGCCTGTGGGGGGGAGGGAAAGGGGGGCAGTCAGTTGGTATTGGGGTTCTGGTGGGCAGGGGACAAGCCTGAGACCAGATGAAAGAACTCACCAGGCCCTTCAAACAGCCACTCGTCTCCGGCCAACACTTTCTCTCCATTCTTATCCATGAAATCCAGCAATGCTTTAAGGTGAAGGGCAGTGTTGGGCAGGACCACCTGCAGTGGGGTGATGTCCTAATGGGGGGGAAAGAGGGCTGATGAGGCTGAGAGACAGAGAAGCAAAGGCAGAGCGACGAGAGACTCATAAAGAAGCCAGAAGAAGCTAGGCCTAGGTTTCGATTCCAGAATTCTTGGAATTGAGCGCAGATAAACTGGAATTGAGTCACGATTTCCCCAAAGTGAGATAGCCATGATGAGGTCAACTAAGGGTTACCAATCAGATGCAGGCAGGAAAGCCCCCCTATATAATCCTTATGTAACTCTTATGCAATCTTTATGTAACTCCAACTTATAAACAATCAGCTAAGTACAAGTAGTGGAAAGGCCCTCAGACTGCAGCCAAAAGGGTGGCCCATGGAAAGTCCTTGTCATATAATGCTATGGTATAAAAGCCCCTCACCTTTGAGAGTCAGGGCCACTTGTTCTGAGAAGGCTGCTGCTGTGTCAGTGAGCCAGACAAGGTCCCTAGCTCAAGTCAGCTAATAAAGACCCTTTGCTTATTGCATTGCAATTTGTCTTCATGTGATTCCTCTGGGGAGATCTTGGCCCAGTTTAACAAGGTATTCAGTGCTGTGTTCCCAAAAGTTACTTTTATCTTATTATCATTATTTTGGTTTCTGAGTCACATCTGGCTGTTTTCAGGAATTACTACTGGCTCCTGGAGGGGTTCAGACCATATAGGATGCTGGGAATTGAACCCCAGGTGAGTGTGTACAAGGCAAGTGCCCTACTCGCTGAACTCTTACTCCAGCAGTGATCCCTAGAGTTAAACCTGACATATGTCTCCAAGTAAGACCCAGTGGCACATACATGGCAGGGTAGTACCAAAGCACTGGGTCTGAAAAGCTAAATTGACAGTGCGAGAGTGTCTCTGCCGAGGGTCGAGGATGCCGTCCAGTGTGGGAAGTGTTAGAATTTGTTTTCACCTAGAAATTTCATAGGTGGGAACATGGGTAGACAGCTCGCTGGGAGCTGTGGGAGGAATCTCTGAGATGCCCAAAATATCTGAGTGTTTCATGGTCTCCTGTGCACTCGAGGAAGGAGAGGTGGAAGGAACTATACCAGGCTATGACTCACCATAAAAAGCAAGCCCTGGGGCCAGAGCAATAGTACAGAGGGAGGGGCCCTTCCCTTCCCTGCAGCCAACCATCTTCAAAGCCCAGGAACCCCCATGGAGTCCACAGGAGTGACCCCTGAGCAAAGAACCAGAAGTAAACCCTGAGCACAGCTGGGTGTGACCCCTGACCCCCCCAAAAAAAAACCCAAACAACTCCTTGACACACACAAGGACCCAGAGACAAAGCACTGTTTCTCCTTATCAGTTGAAAACATCCTAAATGATAAACCTAGAACTCCATACAGCAGTTAGACAAGATCAATTATGTACCAGTAGGTGCATAGTCCAAACACACAGCAAAGGAAATGTGATAACCTCATGCAAAAGCTTACCCGGCCAGGATTATTTTTGGATACTTATGCAAATGCAGACACACCATACATAGCTATACCCTGATTCTGAACTGGAGGATGGAAAAGAATTCTGGGGAATGAAGAGCAGATACTGGAAGTCCGAGACTTTAGAGCCTTCTGATCACATTCTTAGAACAAAAAACTCACGCTGGAAAGAGCACACAGGGCCGGGGTGATAACACAGTGGGGAGGGCACTTGCCTTGCACGTGGCCGACCTGGGTTCAATATCCCCTGAGCACTACCAGGAATGATTCCTGACTACAGGCAGGAGTAAGCCCTGAGAACCACTGGGTGTGGCCCAAAAGTTTAAAAAAAAAAATCTATTTACGCAAGTTTTACAATACTCTTAATTTTCTAGAATCTGGTTTTTTGTTTTTTTTTTTTTTGCTTTGTTTTGTTTTTTGGGTCACACCCGGTGATGCACAGGGGTTAGTTACTCCTGGGTCATGCACTCAGGAATTACTCCTGGCGGTGCTTGGGGGACCATATGGGATGCTGGGAATCGAACCAGGGTCATGCAAGGCACATGCCCTACCCGCTGTGCTACTGCACCAGCCCCGAGTATCTGAAGAACATTTTAATCATTCTTTCTCTCTATACACACACACATACACACTTTTTTGTTGTTTGGAGGGGTGAGGGCCACACCCAAAGTGCTTGGAATTTTTCTGGCTGTGCTCATGAACGACCCTTGGTGGTGCGGGGGCACCATGCATGGGCGGTGGGGACTCAGCTCTCCTCGTATTTCCCCTAAGGGCAGCCAGGGCCACCAGCACCTGTTGAGTCACAGAGAAAAAGCACCAGAAGGAGAGGGAAGGGAAAGTTTCGGTGGTCACTCATGATGCTCCCTTCCTCTCCCAGAAGAACACCAGGCATCGGAGCCCGGCCCTGCTCTCATCACCACGGGCGCCTGGTACAGCTGGCATCAATGAAATGCTTACTCTGCACTAGTCACGGAGTGCCAGGCTGGCTAGGCGCTGCGTGCAGCTCTGGAACACGGCGATCCAGTGGCGAGCTGGGCCCTGGCTCAGGAAGGAGGGGAGGCCTGAGTGGGCACCAGTGGTGTAGAGAGGGGAGCTGGGCAGGAATCGCTGGGTGGCTGTGAGCCCCACACGCCTGCCGTCGGAGCTGCCCCAGCCAAAGGGCTCGAGAGGGAAGGGAGTGGTACCTTTTCCAGCTCCTCGCCCGGGTACAGGGGGAAGGGGTCCTGAGCCAGCCGGATCTCCAGGTCAGCGTGGCGGAGCCGTGCTTGCCCTGAGACATCCAGCAGCACGGAGCCTTGATCATCCCGGGCCACCGGGTTGGCAACCGTACAGTAATGGCGAGGGGGGACTGTCACCATGCGCTGGGGGGCAAACAGGACCCTGTTTGAGAGAGAGCAGCAATGAGGACCTGTGAGGACTGAGGGGTGCCCAGCCCCATTCTCTGTTCTCCAAGGAGGACATGGAAGGGAAAGCAAGCTTCCTGTCACCTAGGCGGGGTTCAGTTCTGCTTGGAAACAGGAAGGACAGTCACACCAGCCCCACCGAGAGGCCCTCCTGGACCCTGTACCAACCTCTCATTGTCCTGCCGGATGTAAGTCTTGGGCCCCACTTCCACGCGGGACACGTTGCTGTTCTGGTCCAGCACGTGAATGTAGTGGTACGGAGGGATGCGGATGATGGACTCGTCTGTTGCCATGGTGACTGGGGGGAAGCACAGCACAGGGGTGAGGGGATACAACCAGGTGATCACAGGAGCTGAGACGGGGCAGGCAGCTGGCACGGGGACCTCCTCCAGCTCAGGTCCTTGCATCACTGCGTTTCCTCTGCCCCCGAGTTGGGTAACAGCGTCCCCCAGACCTCACCCTGGCCAGTATCTGCTCTGAGAAGCTCACAGATCTTGGCTGACTCCCTTAATCTGCATCCACTTTACCTCCCTGTGGCTGTCTGGGGTCCAGAAGGTTCTCCAAGTCAGAATCTCCTCTACCTCCAGCCCTGGCAGTGGTGCCTGCAGCTGAGGGAGCTGCTAAGTCTCTGGAGGTCTGTGGCTTTGAGGGGCTCCCTGAGCCCTGGGGATGGGGTAGGGTGTAGCAGCCCCCACTGCAGTTGACTCTGCCCCTGGTCCTCAGGTCTTGTCCTGTGCAGATTAGACAACCTTGGAGGATCGGCCCCCCAAGGCTGGGACCCTGCTGGGAACGAAGTCCTGGGCTGCACCTGAGCCTGGAAGAGGATTCTCGCCCTCTTCTCCCCACTTCTCTCTCTGTGTTGTCACTCTCAGTCTCAGGAAGAGAAAGGGGGACAGGAGCATTATATTCCACCCACCCCAGCCTCGCTGCTTCTGGGGCTGGGTGCTCCCACACTCCCCCGCTCCTCCCAGCCTGTAACCCATTCTTACCTTTTCTAGTGCACACCTTTTTGGGGGGGGGAGCATAGTAGGAGTAGGAGGTGCTCAGGGCTCACTCCTGGCGCTGTTTGGGAGACCATATGCGGTTATCAGCGATCAAACCAGAGTTGCTGTGTGCAAGGCAAACACTCCAGCCCCTGTGCCCCCTTCTCCATCCCCTGTGCTGGATTTTGGACAGTTTCTTTGAGTCACACAAAAGCCATGCTCCAAGCACTATGGTCAGGTATTTCGCGGGTGCAAAAAGCCGAAGCAGCACTGCCAGGCACCAGGGGAATTGCAGGAGCCAGAATCGGAAAAGCCCAAGTTTCACACAGTCTAAACATTTCTTTGGTTTCCAAGCTGAGTCATCACCAACTCCTGGTTCCTATTCTCTCGAGGCCAGGATAGAGCAGGAGAGCAGATAAACTTCCTGCCTACCGGTCCCCACCGAGCCTGGGCTGCTACATGGCCCCGGGCTGGTTCCTGCTTCTCAGAACCATGTGCAGTGAAGGAAATGGTCTAGATTGGTGCCGTCTTCGGCTACATGTGATTGTGGAACACTTGAAGATGACTTATTCAACATAACACTTGAATAAGCTGGGGGTGGGAGGCAAACTTTTACTTAAGCCAACTGGGGAGCTGTTCCCATTAGAGAGTGTAACTTGCTGAGTCCCAGTAGGACCATTCAAGGCCAAAGAGCCAGTCATCAGGTCTATCAGGAGGACTCCCCCCGTCCCTCCCCAGCACGGCACAGGGCTCAGAGGCCTCTGGGCCCACATTCTGATTTGGCATATTGGAGAAGGCGGTCACATCAGGCAGTGCTCAGGGCTACTCCTAGTTCTGTGCTCAGGAGTGACCCCTGGTGGTGCTCAGGAGACCATTAGTGATGTCAGGATTAGAACCAGGCTTGGCTACAAGCAAGCAAGCTCCTAACCCCTGGACTCTCAGGTTCTCTCCGCCTCCAGCCTCCTCTTCTGTCCTGGCCAGCCTCATTGTGGGCACATCAGAGGCCTGCTATTCTGTTCCTCCTTTACCTTGCAACTTTGTATGGGTTTGACCTTGATACTTTTTTGTTGCTTCTTTTTCTGCCCAGGCTCCCTTAACCGGAAGGAGTCAGCCTTTCCAAACAATGTTTAAAAACCCAGGATTTGGCTTTTGCTTTGCTGACTGCCTCCACCCTCCCACACACTTTTATTTTTTGGGGGGATGCACACCAAAAAGAAAAAAAAAATAGGCGGAGCTAAGGGCTTAGTCCTGGAGGAGCTTGGGAGACCATCAGGGATGGGGTGGGGGGTGTCAAACCTGGGTGGGCTGTGTGCGAGGCCATATCCACTGCACCTTGCTCCTGTCACAAACCTGATCCCTTGACATCCTCTCCTATCCCATCTTGTCCCATCCTGCCCACCATCTCCAGGCGCTCCCTGATGTGGACCGGAAGAGCTCCTTTGGAGAGACGGGGGTGGGGGGGCATGGGTGCTCGGATTGCCTATATGTTGCTTCTATTCACCCAACAGAAATGAACATTAACCAAGTAACTGCTTCCTGGTCTCTCCAAGTCCTGAGGCCTAAGCACCAATTAATTGCCATAAACACAGAACACAGCCTTGCTCACCAGCACCAAGATTTTAGGAAGGACGCATGGGAGTGTGGGGGGCTGCATTCACACATTAGGGGGTGCAACCTAGCCCAACACTCCTGATTCTAACAGGCCTCGGGACTTAAGTACACATTACTGTCAGGAAGGGGCAAATCTCTCATCACGCCAGCTGTGGGTGTCTGACAGCCGAGCGAGGCCCTTTGCCACATTGTCTGCAGGGTGGCAGCCTGGCCAGGAAGTCAGTGGGGGCAGAGGAAGGTCTGAGGGGATTAGCAGAGCTGGCACAGGGCTCCTGGGGCCCCACAGGAAAGATCTGAATTTTAGAAGCAAGGCTGGGCTGCCAGGCCGGAGTGCTGCGTCCAAAGGTTCCGTGGTGGAAACTTCCCACCCCCTCCCTACGGCAGAGACCTCACTACCATCTGTCACCCCAGCTGTACCCAGTCAGGGGGGCTGAGAGCCTCACCCAACTCGGTGACTCAGCTAAGAGTCATCCTTTTAGCTGATCCACCTGGCTTTGTGCCAAGGCCAAGCCCTTGCCAACCAGCTTAGTTTTATAGACCCACCTTCTTCCCCTGCTCCCCAGTGACCAGCCCCAGGACGGCCTCCCACCTGGATGGCCTGCCGCTGCCCCAAGCTCAGGCTTACTGGCTCTCTCTCTCACCGTCTGTAGAGTGAGTCTCGACCCACGGCCTCCAAACCACTTGTATCAAGCAGGATGTTTGTGGAAAATTTCTTGTTTAGACTTTTAAGAGTTTCCCATAAATAGTCAGAGCATTTTTCGGAAGGAGGGTGCTCCACAGTGCTGGTGCCTGGGGATTCAGTGCTGGGGTGAGGCAATTCTGAGGGCAGTGATGGGGACGGGTACCCAGCAGGGTTCGGGAGGCCAGGAGACGCCAGGGAAGAAATGGGGAGCCTGGTTGGAGTGATAGCACAGCGGGTAGGGCATTTGCCTTGCACGCAGCCGACCCGGGTTTGATTCCCAGCATCCCATTCAGTCCCTCGAGCACTGCCAGGAGTAATTCCTGAGTACAAAGCCAGGAATAACCCCTGTGTGTGACCCAAAAAGTAAAAGAAAAAAAAAGAAAGAAAAGTGGGGGCTACATACATTCAAGGCATGTGCTCCAACTTTTCAAGCTCTGCCTCTGGCCCCTATAGTCAGAACATTTCACTTCTAAGGTATCGGGATCCCCAAGATAAGGACTGCTGTGGCCTTTGGAATGTTCTGCCCAGCCTTGATCTTTTTTGGGGGAAGGGGCCCATAGCTGGGAGTGCTCAGGGATCACTACTGGCAGGGCTCAGGGGACCATAAATGGTGCCAGAAACTGAACCTGGGTCACTGCATGTAAGGTCAGTGCCCCACCCGCTACTGCTCTGCTCCGCTCACCCCTGCTCGCCCCACCCCGGCCTTTGGTTTGGCTTCAACACTCCCACCTCAACCAGGGCCTCCCCTCCGGGCCACTCTAGCTATATCCAGTTCCGGCTAATCGGACTTCTCCCTCCAGAATCACGTTCCTACATCGTCAACTTTTACCCCAAGTCTGAGCCCAGTGATTGCCCACCCCACCCCACCCCACTCCATACACACACACACACGGAGAGAACACTGGGTGGAGAAGTTGAGAACAAAAAGGCCCGTGAAGAGCAGGGGCGGATTCAGGCTCTACTGAAGAGGTGGCTTGTTGGTTCAAGGCTTGCCTCCAACATAAAACTATAGCAAAATGTTGCAATAAATGAGTCACGGTCACTACTTATCAGAGAACTTCAGGGTCATCTGGGAGTGACTGAGCCTTCTCCAGAAATGCTAAGGGACCAAGCACCAAACACTGCTGTGCAGGCCAGTGATTCCAGCCCTATCTTGGCCCCACCCGGAACTTAAGGGCTTCTTAGTGTTTGTTTGGGACCACACCTGGTGGTGATCAGGGACTAAGGGGTGACAGAGTTTTGAACCTGAGCCTGCCACTATGAGCCAGCCCCCCAGACCCTGTCAGCATTTGAACTAGATCCCAGTGACCCGAACACACTAAGTTAGAACTGTCCTGATCCGCAGTGGCCACTTCAATCCTGTGCATAAGATCACCTGGAGAGGGGCTGGATCGATAGAACAGTGGGGAGAGCATTTGCCTTGCACACAGTCAACCCGGGTTCGATTCCCAGCATCCCACATGGTGCCCCGAGCATTGCCAGGAGTAACCCCTGAGCATCTCCAGGTGTGACCCAAAAAGCAAAAAAAAAAAAAAAAAAAAAAAAAAAAAAGATGACCTGGAAAGAGGTCTTTTGGGGGTGCTGGTGGGGCTTCCAAGGCGTGCTCAGGATGTCTGGTGGCTCTGAGCCAACCAGGCCGGTGGGTCAAGGCAAGGAGGGTGTGGGGCAGCTCAGGTGCTGGAGACCACCTGGGCCATGCCAATGCTGTGTCGGCTGAGCGAGGCATGTGCCTCCTGGTCTCTAGCAAGGTCTTTTATTTATTTATTTATTTATTTGGGTCATACCCAGCGAAGCGGGTTACTCCTAGCTTTGCACTCAGGAATTACTCCTGGTGGTGCTCAGGAGAACATATGGGATGCTGGGAATCGAATCCAGGTCAGCCGCGTGCAAGGCAAATGCCCTACCCGCTGTGCTATCACTCCAGCCCCTAGCAAGGTCTTTTAAAACCACGAATTGAATGGGTCTGGGGTGGGGTTCAAACCTGGTAGTGCTCCATGGCTAACCTTAGCTCTGTGCTCAGGGGACCATCTGGTGCTGGGGAGTCAACTGGGGCCTCCCGCAGGCAGAGTACGGACTCAGTTCATGCTAGAGTCAAGGCTCCTGAGCTGGTGCTCCCAGTAAGACCTGAACAGTGAACGGCGGAGTGATCTCAGGCCCCTAAGCTGCCCCCAAGCTGTACTCTCCCAGCTGAGTGAACTGCCTGTTCCTGGGGGGCTAAAGGGACTGAGGGGGAAAGGATGTGACTAGCGCAAAGGACCTGGACTCCTTAAGGCCACCGTCAGGGCAGGGGGCCGTACTGAGCTTTTCCAGCCTGGATTCTGGCAGCCCCCATTACCAACCCGAGCCCCCTTTCCCCATGCCCTGGAGCTTGGTCTGGGGGTGAAGTTGGTGACCCAACCTAGTCCACACGACCTCTGTCAACCTTAGGCTGTGGAAAATACACGGCGGGGGGGGGGGTGTATCAGCATAAATGTGGGCTCAGCTTGGCAGTGTCCCACCACTGACTTTGTTTTTAAACTTAAAATCTGGAGGCCTGGTAGTACTCAAAACTTCCTCCCAGCTCTGTGCTCAGGGGTCACTCTTTTTTTTTGGGGGGGGTCACACTCAGCAATGCTCAGGGGTTACTCCTGGCTTTGTACTCAGGAATTACTCCTGGCAGTGCTCAGGGGACCATATGGGATGCTGGGGATTGAACCTGGGTCAGCCACGTGCAAGACAAACACCCTACCCGCTGTGCTACCGCTCTGGCCCCTCAGCCACGTGCAAGACAAACACCCTACCTGCTGTGCTACTGCTCCGGCCCCTCATGGGTCACTCTTGGCAGTGTTTGGGGACCATACAGGATGCCTGGGAACAAGCCTGTGGGTTGGCTGTGTTCAAGCACCCTAAGTCTGCTATATTATCTCTCCAGCACTCTTCGTCACCCATTTTAAATAGTCTGAGTAACTGTGCAAGGACTGCTACTCCCAACTAGTGCTGTAACGAAAATCCAAGACTCTTTCCCGAAATCTTTTTTTTTTCTTCTTGGGTTATACCTGGCAATGCTTGGGAGCCCATATGGGATGCCGAGGATCAAATCCGGGTCCTCTGTGTGCGAGGCAAATGCCTTCCCAGCTGTACTATCGCTCAGGCTCCCTCCCTAGATCTTTTAAGCAGGAAGGTTTCAGAACCTCTGTGACAAGTCTTCCCTGAGCTCGGTACCACCTTCGCTGTGGGAGCAGGGTGGCCGGCCCCGATCTGCAACTCTCTGGGGTCAGCTCACCAGGCTTGGCACACTGTACCCGACTTCCCAGGCCAACTCTGCACTGTCACTGTCCTCCCGTTGTTCATCAATTTTCTTGAACGGGCCCAGTAACATTGTGAGACTTGTTACTGTGTTTGGCATATCGAATATGTCACGGGTAGCTTGCCAGACTGCCGTGCGGGCGAGATACTCTCGGTAGTTTGCCGGGCTCTCTGAGAGGGGCGGAGGAATCGAACTTGGGTCAGCCATGTGGGCTGCGTGCAAGGCAAACACCCTACCCTCTGTGCTATCGCTCCAGCCTGCCGACTCTGCAACCAGGTGGAAATCAAGTGCTCTGAATAACAGCCCTGCTTAGGAAGAACTCATCTGCCTGGTTGCCCTTTAACTCACACAATAACAACAAGCTAGAAATGCATATAGCAGCTCACTCAACAGCATACAGTTGACAGAGGAGAAAGCTAGAATGGTGACGTTTGTGCCCCCAACCAGAGGGCAAATGGTCGAGGCTGGGTCCTCTACGGGAGACGGTGCCAAAGGCAGCTCAAAGGTGAATGTTTCTCAGTCTTTGGAGGTTTCCCTGGAGCCCTCGGTCTAGGCCACTCACTCAGGGACTGCCCTGCCCAGAGCCACACCCAGGACAATGGTGCTTGTGTATCAAGGGTGGAAACTCTCTCAAATTTCCGGGGAGTCACTGGATGCCCCTCATGATAGCCAGCCTTCTCCCTGTAATCAAAGGTCTACACAGGCAGAGTCAGGAACCTTCCACTCACCGACAACCCCTCCCTCTCTGTGGGTGCCACTCCCGGGCCTGACCCTAGGTCGCCAGCAGGCTGGTGCGAGGCATCCCATCCTCCACTCCCCCTTCCCAGAGAGAATCGAGACAATCGCTCAGCAGACCCCACATCTTCTGAAGCCAAGACTTCCTCAGAATGCGCTGGCGGAGTTGGGGAGTGCACGCTTCAGGCGCAGGAGGCCCAGGGTTAGTTGCCAAGCACTGCCAAGCGTGCCCCCTAAACAAAAAAAAAATGACTTTAAGGAGCCGGAGCAAGAACAGTGGGTAGGGTACTTGCCCTGCATGTGTCTCTGACCTGGGTTTGATCCCCAGCATCCCATAGTGTCTCTGGAGCATTGCTAGGAGTGAGTTCTGAGTGCAGTCAGGAGGTAGCCCTGAACATGGCCAGGTGTGACCCCAAAACAACCGCCCCCCCAAAAATGAGAAAAAAAAAACTCTGAAGATCCTCTGCTAAAGGCTTCTCAGGCTGTCTAAAGGCCACCTGGCACAGCCCTGAGTTGAGCAGCAGGTCAGCAGAGCGAGGGACCCCAAAGGGGATAATCAATCACATTCTAGAAGCTCAGTGGACTCCAGGAGTCCAGGAAGGGGAGAGGCGAGTACAAGAGGACCTTCCAGCCCACTGCCCTGCCTTCCAAAGAGGGAGCCTACAATATGGAAGGCCTGAGGATCTAGGGAAACTAGATGTTGGAAGGATTGGGACTTTTCATCTTTGCTTCAAAACCCCAAAGAAACCCTGGCCAGGTGCAGCCCCAGGTGGTACCGGCACCGCTGGGCCCAGGCCTGAGAACCCCCTGGAGTGGCTCCCAGCCTTCTGGGCACTGCTGCTTGCCCACAGTGCGGAAGGACGGTCCGGGGTGTGCTCAATGAGGCTGAGCACATCTCTGCATCACGGAAGCCTGGGTTCCATTCCCAGCACCGCCTGGTCTCCGGAACTCAGGAGGTACAACCCGCACGCACCAAGCCCAGAAGTAGAACAGCCCAACACTGCTGGGTGTGGCCCCCACTCCGACACGAAAACTGAAAGAAAAGTGAAACTTCCTAAGACCAAGTCTCTGCTCGCTTCTTCCTCCACACTCACGGTTTGGAGAATCTTTTTTTTCTGGGGGGGGGGGACAGGAGGGCAGGGAGGGGCACACTCAGCAGTGCTCATAACTTAGCGGTTAGTCTTGGCAAGGCTTGGGAGGATATACTGAATGTCTGGGATTGAACCCAGGTCAGCTACATGCAAGGCAGGTGCCCCATCAGCTGTACTACCGCCTAGCCCTGGAGACATCTGTCCTGGGGGGGCGGTTACTGGACCATAGCCAGCAGTACTCAGGGGCTACTTCCTGCTTGAAGGGTCGCTTGGGGGCTGCTGGAGAGGCCCCTGCTGCCAGCACTTGGCCCGCTGAGCTCCCGCTAGCTCCAGTTCCAAAAAATCTTACCTGTCCCGGCAGGAGCAAGGGCCTAGGGGACTGGGGGTTCAAGGAGACGATGTCCGCAACCAGTCTGGGGCGAGTCCGAGGGTTCAAGTGCTCGCACTCAGGTGCCCAGGGCTGCCGGGATTCCCCAGGTCAGACACGCCCTCGCCAGCCCGAGATCACTTCCCGGCAGGCCGGCAGCCGGGGGTGGGGCTTGGGCATTTAAAGGGCCCCTGCGTTCCCTTCCGGGGGAGGTTTCACCACCAGTCATTGAGCCCAGAGGAATGGATTTCTTCGTCTGGGCCTGCTGGCAGTTGCTAGCAGGGGCCAGGCCAGGGTCAAGACCCAGGCTCTGGGTGAATCCACCTCTGCCCCATCTGGCTTGAATTTCCCAGTCTGGGGGAAGGTAGTTCTCCCTCCCACCAGGGCTTCCGTCTGGGCTCTAAGGGCATGCCCAGCTCTAAGAGACGATAACTACTTTTTATTTGCGATTCAAAAGTCAGTCCAGGCTTCCAAAAAAATGTTCAACACAAACCAGAAACACACACGCACATCTTTGTGTTGGGAGGATGGGGTCGCCATCTCACACGCACACATTCACACCCTTTTCCCAGATGCTGGGAGAATGGAGGGCCGGTGGGTGCGTACTTTGCACCTGAAAGGCAGAAGCAACTGCAGTTAATATTTCCGCTGCTGCCGGGGGAAGAGACCGCTCCCAGAGGACCGGAGTGAGGGACTGGTGGGGTTGGTGTCCTCTGAGTCTAGGCTGAAGAGGTCCCTGCCAGTCCGGAGAATCTGTTCCTCCAGTTTCTTATGTCTCTTCATGTCTGAAAGGACCTTGTCCAAGCGGGCTTCCCGTTTCTGGCTCCGAGCTGAGCTCCCTAGAGAAGGGGGAGTTGAGAAATTTAGGGGTGAGGTTGCATACAGCCGATTGTCATGGAACTTTAGAGCTGGGTCTTCACTGAGGGAGGCAGTGAAGTTCTGAATTATGCGGTGCCACTAAGCATCCCAGGCAGGGGGAATAGCAAGTACAAAGGCCCTGAGGTAGGAAATCAAAACTCTTTTAAGAGTGTAGAGATTTGGCAGAGATGAGAAAGATGAGGCCAACTATTTACAGGGGTTTGGAGTGCTTGTAAATGGATGTCTTTACAAAACCTCTTTTTTGGGGGGGGCTGGAGCAATAGCACAGTGGGTAGGGCTACACGCGGCCTTGCACGCAGCCAACCCAGGTTCAACTCCCAGGATCCCATATGGTCCCCTGAGCACTGGCAAGGGTAATTTCCGAATGCAAAGCCAGGAGTAACCCCTGTGCATCGCCGGGTGTGACCCAAAAAAGAAAAAAAAAAAAGAAAAAAAAAAGAAAACCCTGGGTTTTTTTTTGGGGGGGGGGGTCATACCCAGAAATGCTCAGGGGTTACTCTTGGATCTGCCTGCACTCAGGAATCACTCCTGGTGGTGCTCGGGGGACCATAGGGGATGCCGGGAATCGAACCCGGGTGGGCTGTGTGCAGGGCAAGTGCCCTACCCACTGTACTATCACTCTGACCCGTCTTTAGAAAATCTCCAGGGTATGTGGGTTTGGAGTGTTTCAGGTTTGGAGTGTCTCCCTAGCAATAGAAGTATTTTAAACCGAGAAGTGGCAACACAAGTTTTACGGAGATCACTTTGAATGCTAAGACAGAAGGCAGGGAGATGAGTTAACAGGTACAACAATCCTTGTAAGAAATAGAGGTTTGGAGATGGGTGTGGTGCTGCAGGCTGAGAGTGGTAGGTGGATTTGGAAATGTGGCAGCAAATCAAACAGGACTTGCTGCTGGAATGATGGAAGGAGCAAAGGGAAAGAAAGTCTGGCTCTCAGGCTGAATGAAGTCAAGGAAGGCACAAGGCAACAAGATGAGTTGGTACAGAAGGGCCTGGTAGCAGGCTCAGATCACGCTGATGGGGAAAACTTGGAACATCTGGGGAGGTGGAACAGGCCTAATGGGAAGCAAGACAGAATCCTCTGTGAGAGTCTTAAGATGGGTATCGATCTAGACTGGTTTGCTGGGGGAATGCTCCTCCGCAGCTAGAAGTTGGGGAGCGACCAAGGCACCCAGACGGAGCACTGGCCCTTCACCTCCCCACAACTCCTCCCTTTGGTCTATACCTGGGGTGCGTCTCCGGTCAATCAGGGAATCCTTTGGTGTCATGGGTTCATCATCAAAGTCAAATTCGGTGGGCATGTGTGGCCTGGGACAGACAAACGTGCGAAGAAATGAAAACGGGTCGATCCAACGCCTCACCCGCCCTACCACCCTCTTCAGCCTGCCGCTCCGCAGGGAAGGCCCCTGCCCGCCCTCCACCTTCCATGCTCCGCCTCTCCCCGGGGGCGGGGAGGGGAGCCGGGAACAGCCCCAGGAACTAGGGGTGAGGGTGTTCCTCACTTCTCCTCCTCCTCTTCTTTGGCCTCCGGCTCCTCGTCCGATCTCTCCTCCTCACTCGGGGCGTCCGGCGTGGGGGGCCGTCGGGGCAGGATCTCGGCCTGAAGCTCTAGGGTGCCGTGGGCGGCCAGCAGTTCATAGAGCCGCAGGATTTCCGAGGGAGGGGGCATCCAGGACTGCCCGTCGGCGGCCAGCTCCACCTCGTCATCGCTGCAGGGCACGCACCAGTCCTCCGCCTCCCCCTTGGCAAGCTCTTCCCCATCCTCGCGGGGGGTCTCTCCCTGCGCCTCCTCAGTCCCGGGGCCCTCACACCCGGCCTCCTCCTGGCCTCCCTCCTCCCCGTCGTCCTCGGCTTTGTTGGCCGAAGCGGAGGGGCCTCCGGTATCCTCCACGGCCAGAGCCTGGAGGCCCGAGGTCACCTCCCCTTCTTCAGACAAAGGCACCGCCGTTGTGGCCGCAAGGTCTCCATGAGCCCGGACAAGGGACATGCGACACTAGGGAAGGGCCCCTACGATGAAAAGAGCTGCCGCAGTTCCCCGAGCCCCCGTCCCAACAAGGACCCCAAGGCTGCCCGCTTAGAGAACGTCTCGGCGGCCCTTGCAACCAAACCGCCCGTCCCCAGGAGGGGGCGCTCGATCCCCGCCAAGGACCCCGCCCCACGGGCCGAGATCCGGTCCTCCGCGGTGTCCAGGGACCAGCCCGCGCCACTTTCGCCCTCACGACGCCCAGGTGGACACCAACGCCTGCGGAAGCGCCTCCTCCGCGCGGAACGCACCTGGCGCTAGGACCCGCCTCCCGGGCTGCGCAGGGTGACAGCACGCAGGCGCACAGAGACGGCGCGGAGGCTCCGCGCTCGGCCGAGCGACTGGGAAGTGGCACGCCAGGAAGGAGTGCACATGCGCAGAGAGGCTCCCGGGCCACACTGGCGTCGCCCACAGTAAAGATGGACGCCAGAGCGGCGCGTGCGCAGACTACCCAGCAGCGTTTGCCCGAAAGGAGCGCGGACGGACGCAAGGACCAAGTGAGGCTGAAGGCGGGACTCATGCAGTCTGCGTTTATTGGTGTTTCAGACTCATGCAGCATCCGGCATACAAAAAGGGAGAATCCGAGAATCCGTTTTCATGTATCCTTTTTTTTTCTTTTTTCAAAATTTTGTTTCCCCGCCACCCCACCCCACCCCCAACACACACACATTTTTAGAAAACAAAAATTCCGTCAACTCCGAACCGCGTCGAACCGCGCGGGAGTTCAGTCCCCGCCTCCCAAGCGGACTGCAGCGAGCAACAAACCTGGTCCTCATAAAAAATGATTGTAGAGCGCCCGCCCCTCCCTCGCTCCGGTAGCTCGGAGCTTTGGTCCTATTTGGGGGGGGGGGGGGGGGGTTCTTTTCCTACAGAGCCCGCGAACGACCGACCCCCGCCCCGAGAACGCCTGTTTAAGAAAGTTACTCGCTGAGTGGGCTCTAAAGCCCAGGTGGGGCGAGTCGGCGGCCCCGCCCTTCTCCCAGGTGTGGTTCACCACCCCAGCACGCGGTCCGGACCGGGCCTGGGCCGGAGTGGTCCGAACAGTGAACAGTCGGAGCCCCAGGTTAGAGAACCCTCTCCTGACACCTCTGCCCTCCCAGTAAAAGCTGGAGTTTTTGCAGAATGAACGGTGGCAGGAGGGTGGATGGAGGAGAGAGAGGATCTTGGAGGAGGGGAGGGAGGGGAGGAAGGAGGCGGTGGGTGTGGAGGGGGAAGAGGGCTGCGAAAGGCGAGAAGGAAGAAAATAATCAGGAAGGTGCCAAGACAATGAAAGTTGGGTGGGGGAGACCAGGCTGGGGTGCAGGGAATCCCTGGATTTGGAAGGTGGGCAGAGATGCAGGGAAGCGGAGAGCAAAGACTTGGGGAGGTTGTTCAGGGAGGTTTCCAGAAGTGCAGGGAGGTTTCCAGAAGTGCAGGGCTAGGGAGGCCCAGCGGTTGGCGGGGATGCAGGCAGACATACAGGGAGGTTGGAAACAGTGCAGGAGGAGGGAGGCCTACGGTTGGCAGAGGAGCCTGGCAGGATGCAGGAGCAGGGAAGAAGCTGTAAACAAGGCTGCTCAGGCTCCCTTGGTCCCTATGGGTGCGGGCCTGGGCCATCGATTGGGCTTCCCCCAGGGAAGGGTGGGCCCAAGGCAGCTCCCAACAGGAAGAAAAGTCTTGGGATGCAGGGCAGAGCCCCTCACTTATACACTGTGGGAGAGGAGAGGGAGGGACGAGAAGGTGGGAGACAAGGAGAGACAAAGGAGACAGACAGGAGAGAGCAGGGGCAGGGGTTAGTACAGCTGCCCTTGCCAGCCCTTCCGCACCGCCCAGCCTGTCCCAGACCCCCACACTCACCGCCTAAGTTGATGACGCAGGAGGCGATGATGATGAGGACCCCCCCTACCAGCGCCACGATGCTTAAGAGTTTGGCCACGCGGCCCAGACGTTGGGCCCCGTCCACATCCCCCTGCTGCAGGCTGTTGCGGGACTGGGGTGAGGAGGAGGAGCGAGGGCACGCGGCAGGGATCGGGTGCGAGTCGTCCGGAGGCGGCAGGTGGCCCATGGCCAGCGTGAGGAGAGGAAGGAGGGGCAGGGGAGGAGGAAACAGGTCAGCCAGGCCCCGGGGCAGTGTGGCCCCCAGATTCCTCCCACCTGAAGGGATTTAGGACTCAAGTCCTGGCTGGGGGGAAGGTCCATGCAGAGGGGTGGGAGGCCAGGCTCCTTGGGGGGCGCTGACCCAGGCATGGCCAGAGCTGGGCCCAGGGACCCCGGGGCTCACCATGACAGCATAAGCGAAGGCCACGATGTTGACAGGCCACATGGGGCAGAAGCAGGACAGGATGGCGAGGATGATGTAGTCCCGAGGTTTCTGGGTGCCTTCACCCCCCTCCACCCCAGACCCGACCAGCTGGGAGCTGGGGTGGCGGCTCAGGCTGCCTCGGGGAGATCCCGGATGCCCACTGTGAACCCTTCCTTTCCGGTCCTCCTCGACCAGCTGCTGCAGCACCCGGGGGGGAGCCCCGTTGGCAGGTGGGGATTTGGTGGAGGGTGGTGAGTGAGGCTGGGGCGCCGGGCCCTCATCCCCATCGCCCGCCTGCAGGGGAACTACTGCCCCATTCTCCTGCTTTTCACCCCCACTCTCAGTCAGGACCTCAGGGGTGGGGGCCTCCTGGGGAGGGGACTTGGGCTGAGGGGCTGGCTGGGGGGCTGGCTGGGGAGGGGGCTCGGAGGCTTGCTCGAGCGGGGCTGTGGGTTGCACAGCAGCTCCCTGAGCTGCAGAGGCCTCTTTGCTCACTTCCAGGTGGGATGCGGGTTCTTGGCAAGCTTCTTCGGGGCTGGTGTTAGCCTTAGAGTTCCCTCCTGGGCTTGAGCTGTGGTCTCTGGCCTGGGATGTATCTGGGGCTCTTGCTGGGGCCTCCGTGGTTTCTGGAGTTGACCCCACCTTGGTCACCTCGGGCTCTGGGCCCACAGGGGCCCCTGGAGTGTCTGGGCCTGGCTGTGGGGCCTCTGGTTCCTCAGGGACCCCAGCGGGGACAGGGCCAGCTCCCACTTCAGAAGAGCTAGGCCCCTGGCCCTGGGTCTGGGGGTTCTCCTCAAGCCCCTTCATCTCGGGGCCCTCAGTGCTGCTGGCTGCCATCTTGGGAGGGGAGAGGGGAGAGGGCGTCCGCTGGGAGGCTGGAGCGGCAGAGACAGCAGCGGGTCCTGGAAGAGGAGGAGACGGGCTTGTGAGAAGAGGCTCGCCGCACCACAGCCCCAAAGGGCTGTGTCTCGGGCCAGCGGGGCGGCTCTGGGGAGAGGAAGAAAAGTTGGGGTTTCCTTTGCCTTGGGGTGGGACATCTCTGGGGAGGAGTGCTGCGGGAGAGCCCTGTGATTAACCCCTTGGTAAACAGGACCTTCCTCATGGGCACCTCCTGGGTCCAAACCTGGATGCTCGGATCCTAGCAGGTGGCCCAGCACCCCCAAATCAACAAGCAGTGCCGACACCCATGCACTCAGACAGACAGGGCAGGGGCTCCCCCGAGACTCCCATTTCACTCCCTCAGCATCCTCCCCTCCTCCCAGGGCACCCAGCCGGTGCGGGTTTTCTTGCTGCGCGTTTGGGGCGCAGACATCCGCGCCCCTCCCTGGGGGGGACCTGGCATCTCCTCGGATCCCCTTCTCTGCTCCCCCTCCTAGGGATTCCCTCGGGCCGGGGACGGCGCCTCCATCTCCCATTGGTGCGGCGCGCCCACTCCCACCCGCGGGTCCGCAGGCGCCAGCATTCCTGTGCAGCCCTCCCGGCCGTCTGTCGGTCCGCTCCTACCCGCAGCCAGGGCGCGTCCGGGGCTCACCTCGACGCCGGGCTCCAGACTGCTGCTCCCGCCGCTGCTGCCGTTGCAGCAGCCGCAGCCCGGGAGGGAGCGAGTCAGCGAGCGAGGGAGGGAGGCGGCGGGTCTCCCCTCGCTCTGCTCGTCCCCTCCTCTCCCTGCTCTCAGGTCCCCTCCCCGCCGCTCCCGCCGCCGCGCGCGCCGCCCCCGCCCCTTGCACGCCTCCCGCCCCTCCCGGCCAGCCCAGGGGAGCCACGCGTGCCAGGCCCCGAGTTACCCGGGCAACCAGCTGGGGGACCACTCTCGTCCCCTCCCCGCCCCCTCCCCCGCGCGCGCGCCTCCCGGGGCGCCCCCTTCCCAAGCCCCGGGCCCCTCCCGTCAACGGTCACCGGGTCTCCTGACAGGAAACGGGTCTGCGAGGACCACTGAGCCGGCAAGACCCCGAGGAGGCACCGTGAGCAGAAAGAGGGGATGGGAGATGTGGCAAAACTTGGGAAGGCTGCAGACAAGCACGGCAGGGTCTCGAGAGAGGGGACTCTGCAGATCAGAAGACCCCTGCACCCCAAAGCTGCACAGCAGAAATAGGTACTGGAAGGCTCCAGGAAAAGGGTCCTTGGAAGGGACTTGCAAGATCAGGATGACTGCAGGGACAGTGTGGCGCAGCGGGGGGCGCTGGGCGGAGCTGACTCCAGTCTGGGCAGTGCCAAGAACCACCGGGCCAAGGGGCAATGCAGTTCTCTGGCTGTCTGCTCCCGCCTTACGGCTCAGCTCCCCCAGTTTATCTGCAGCTACAGCATCACTCGCCCTCAGGGCCCGGAGCGCGCAGGTACTTGGCAGCCCCCGCAGGAGAAAGCGGGTAGGGACCCAGGGCAGTTCCGCTGTCGGGTCTCTAACCCCTGCCTCTCCAGCCCTCCAGGGGTTACTGGGCCCGTGCCCCTGGAGTATCCTATGGACTGGTAACCTGCTCTCCCAAACCTGGGGCGCCTCGGCCCCACCCAGGCCCTAGGCGGTGCCTGGGTGCTGTCTCTGGGGAGGAGCCACAGCCGAGCCGGGCCAGCCCCAGAAAACTCCTTGGGGGTGGAGGAGGACAGCTGGGGGCTGGGGAGGTGGTCATTCAATTCAGCCAGAGAGAGGTTTTTATTTAAAATTTATTGTAATAGGGTCCGCGCAAAAGGAGGGGGTGAAGGGTGGGGAACATGCAGGGGACACAGGAACACGATGACATGGCCAGGGCCACGGACTCTCATGGGGAAGAGGGATGAAAAGAAAAGGCCAGGGCTGGAGCTGGGGTGGGAGAGGGAAAGGGGGGAGACACTGTGGCTGCATTTCCCCCCCGCCCCCAGGAAGCACCTCTAGTCTCTGGATCCCCCCTTCCCCCGGCCCCTAAGATTCCATCTCTTGCCCTGCCTCTGGCCCTAATGGCTCCTCATTTTGCTCCCCTGGTCTTTTGCCCCAACAGTCGACAGTCGCTCTTACGTTTTAGGGACTGACCCCAAACCAGCCCGCTTTATGAAGGTACAATCTCTGCCTTCCCTGCTTCTGCCCCTTCTCAAGTCTCCCCTCTCCCCCCTCTTTGGGGCAGTATCTGATATTCCCCTCCTTACTCTCCTTCCCCCTTAAAAAAAATAATAATAAAAGCACCAACTCCCCAGGGAGGGGTAGCAGACAGTAGGGGGTAGGGGCTAGGAGAGCAGGACCATCAGGGGAAAAAGGCTCACAAATCCCCAGAAGGGCAGGGCAGGGGGGTTCCAGAAAGGAGAGGGGGTGAGGGCAGTGGCTGCTCCTGTCCTCCGCCACCCCTGCCCACTGTCCAGGGGGCTTCAACACAACCAAGGGAACAGGTGTAGGTGGGGTCAGGTCTGAGGGAGAAGAGAGGAGCAGGAGAAACAAATCTTTAAAACCTAGTGAATTCCCCTAAGAAAACATTTCTTCCTCCTTCCTTCTGGAGGCTCCTTGGTTGATGGGGGAAGTAGTGAGGAGTTGGTGGGGAGAGGGGGGAAGAGGAGGTGGAACCAAGGGACTTTCCTCCGTTCTCCCCTCGGTCCCCCGCCAACCTGGAGCTCACCAGGGCTGGGAGGGAAGTGGCTGGGAGCTCACAGGCACCCCCTCAGCCCCAGAGAGGGAGCCCACGGCTGTGGGGGGAGCTGCTACTACTGCTGCTGCCGCCGCTGCTGCCGCCGCCGCTGCCGCCATGGGACAGACCTCACCAGTACCTGCAAGACAAACAGCAGATCACAGCGCAAGCTGAATGGCGAGAGCCTGGCCCCTTGCTCTAGACTCCTCCAAACTCCCTCCCTCGGGACACAGCCGTTGCTCACTTCCTGCTCACTTCCTGTCTGGTCGCAGAGGCTTCAGCCTGCATCCCTACCCAGTTCTGAAGGGGCCTCCCTGTTTGGGCAGCCTCCCTAACTGGAGTGAGAGCTGGGATTCCCTGGCCTCGCTAAGATCCCCTACTGGGTCCTCTGAGCCCCCTTGTCACACACCCCACCCCAACCCCCCAGCCAGTGCCCCACGCCTTGCCTGGTGGGTGCGGGGGTCCCCCTCAGCAGGTGGGCTGTGGCTGGGGGGCGTCTCCCGGGACAGGGGGGGGCGGCCCCCCCAAGATGGGTCTGCATGTGGCCGGCCAGCTGGGCAGGGGTCTTGCAGTGCACGCTGCACAGCTTGCACAGGATGCGGTCAGCCCGCGGGGCCTGGAGCCCATGGTCCTTCACCGCGTGGATGCGCAGGTATGCTGCCGTGGTGAAGCCTATGGGGGGGGGGGATTGGGTTGGGGGGGATGGGGGTCAGCCAGGCGGAGACCCCAGAGACGGGGCTGTTCTCCTAGGCGGGGGGTGCCCTGCTCAGTGGCCCTGTCCTCCTCCCACCCCATCGTGGGTTGCCTGGGGCTGGTTGGAACAAAGCCTTCCTGGAGGCCGGGCCTGCTAGAGAGGGGTTGGCTTTATGGCGTGGCACCCACAGCCCATGCTCTAGGGCTGGGGGCGATCTCCCGGGTGACTGGACATGGATTCCTAGCCACTTGAAGGATTGACCCTCAGCAGAGACGGCTGTGTCCCCTCCCTTCAGTGCCCTGTAGCCTCAGCCCCTTTACTCAGTGATGAAATGTTAAAGGCAACATTTTCTGCTGGGAGGGCAGGACGGGTGCCCACTAGACCCCAGCTCAGGAACCTGCCTGCCTCAGGCTGAAGATCAGGTGTGGCTGCAGAATTCACTGAAACTTTGTCTTCAGCCCCCTGGAAACTGCTTTTCTCTCCCTGACCTTTTTTTTTTTTTGGTTTTGGGGTTACACCTGCAGTGCTCAAGGATCACTCCTGGCAATGCTCGGGGCACCATATGGAATGTCAAGAACAGAACCTGGGTTGGCCGCATGCAAGGCAAGCGCCCTACCCACTATACTATCTCTCCAGTCCCAGCAATGGGTTCTCTTGACACTCCTTCCCTCAAAGCACCCACGATATGATCCCCTGCACACCCAGACCCACTGGTCTGGTCGTGCTTTAGCCACGACCAGTTAGAATTTAACTTTGGTGCCATCCCCATGCCAGTAGCTCCACTTGCTTCCTGCAGGGTTCAAGATGCCACAAGCTCTTGGCTGCAGCCCTTCTGACCCTCATCTGTGGCAGGGCCTCTGACTTGACTCCCACCCTTTGTCCCTGGCCCTCCCAGCAGACCCCTACAAAGTACCTTTGCTGCAGAGTTCACAAACATGGTGAGGGCCCTGGCTGTGCACCTTCATGTGGTCCGAAATATAAGCCGAGCTCAGCATCTTGCCACACACGTGGCACGGCACCTTCTCCTCGTGTCGTACAGTGTGCGCCCGCAGTCGATCCTTCGTTGCAAAAGCTGCCTCACATTTCTGGGGAGGGGGGAGGGGCGTGGGGGGTGTCAGGAGAGTTAGAGCTTTGGGGAGTGGGGAGAAGGGGGCAAGAGGTTAAAGGAATCAGGGCCTTGGGGATCTTTGATCTGTAGGAAATGGAAATGGGATGATGAGGTCTTGAAGGGATGAGAAAATGGAGTGAAAAAAGCAAGAGAGAGAGAAAAAGGGGGTCTGAGAGGTTGAACTCGGACAGCTACAATGAGGATCAAAATCATGAAAACCAGGACAGGAGGCGGTGGGCTTCCTACCTCACATTTGAAGGGCCGTTCTGTTGAGTGCACTTGTCTGACGTGACTGTTGAGGTGATCCGGCCTGGGAACACGTTGGGGGTGGGAGTTAGGGCCCCGGCGCTGTCCCCAGAGCAGTCGAGTTCAGCTCCCCGGGGTTTCCTAGAAGGTGCAGCCTTGCCGTCCCGCTTCCCCAGCGCCGCCCAGGCCAGGCGGAAACCCCTCCCCTCCGGCGGGGAGGCCTCCCAGCCGCCTCCCCGCCCCGTGGCCCTGCAACCCCAGGACCCACCCCCTGGGCTAAGGCCCACCCCCGGGCTAGGGCCCGCCCCCTGCTCCGGGAAAGCCGGCGGGGCGGGCCTCCCTCCTCCCCCAGCGCGGCTGCGTCCCCGATCTCGCGCCCCCCCCCCCGCCCCCTCCGAGCGGCGGCCGCGGGCCCGTGCACACCGGGAGAAGCTCTTCCCACAGTGGGAGCAGTTGTAGGGCTTGTGCACAGCGCCGTCATGTGAGCGCACGTGGTAGCTCATGCGGTCCTTGCGCTTGAAGCGCTGCTGGCACACCGGGCACTGGTAGGGCTTCTCGTCCGAGTGCGACAGCTTGTGCCGGTTCAGGTGGTAGACGTCGCGGAAGGCCTTGCCGCACATCTCGCAGGCGTGGTTCTTCCGGATGCGCTTCCCCGAGGCGGTGGTGGTCACCACGCCACCTGCGGCCACGGCGGCCGCCCCGCCGCCGGCGCCCGCGTCGCCCCCGCCCCCGCCGGCCCCGCTCAGCTGCGGCACGCTCAGCAGGCTCAGGGGCACCATGGTGGGCATCTTCATAGCACCCGTGGGGACCCGGCCGGCCTTGGCGCCCGTGTGGATGGCCTCGTGCCTCCGGAGGTTGTAGCCGTTCTTGAACTCCTTGGCGCACAGGGCGCAGATGTAGGGCCCCTTGCTCTTTGTCTTCTTCTCCAACGCCGACGCGACCGGGGCCACGGCGACCGCCGCGGTGGGGGCGACGACGGCGGTGGCCGCGGCGGCGGCGATGCTGGCGGCGGAGACGGGGGGCGCGGCCTCGGCCGCGGGCGCCGACACGGGCGGGGGCGGCGGCGGGGGCGCCGGG